CAGAGGTTGCTTATGAAAGGCGACGATCGACGCACAATATTAATGTAAAGTGGGATAGAATGGTAAAATACAGAAGAATTTCAGCAAAAACGTGAGAGTTTACGTGAGTGAAGTGAACAGGAAGTGTTTGTGGAGAAACAGTTTTGCGAGAGAACGCAAAACATCTTTGCGAGATAACGCAAAACTTTGTGAGGGAACGCAAAACTTTTTTGAGAGAATGCAAAAACTTAAAAATACATATTTCCCCCCCACCCATTTTTTTCTTTCACCCATTTTTTTTTTCTCCTCCACTTCGTCCCTTCCAGGGTTCCGTAGATCTGGGATTAGTTTATTGTATGGAGTGCAGCTGTCAATCAGCGCTTATACATTCATTCACTGGTTTAGAGGTTGCATATGAAAGGCGACGATCGACGCACAGCTTTAACGTAAAGAAAGTGGGATAGAGTGGTAAAATATGGGAGAATTTCAGGAGAGTTTGAGGAGAAACAGTTTTGCGAGAGAACGCAAAACATCATTGCGAGGGAACCAAATGTGCCGCAAGCCTGCGTTTGAGTGAAGGTCTCGGCCGTTAGATCGCCCCCTGGGGGCTGGCTGCAGTACAAGTCATAAAGCCCGCCTTCTCCGTGTTAATGAAGGAGACTTGAGCCCAAATAAAAAAATGTATTACACTTGCAATAAAATGTCCCGAAAGATGGTTCTGGTCGATTAAGGCACTGATTATTGTGCTGAAATAGGTGCAGATCTTCATTTTTGTAAACAGTTTGTTTTTAGCAGTAATTTAATGCTGGGCGTGTCATCGTGATTGACAGCTGTGATTGACAGTTTCTCAAAGCAGCGCGTCTGAGCTTCGGTAGGAGACTGAAGTGTTATTATTCGATTTCTGTGTTCTTTTACCATGCCAAAATGAGTTCAGCAGTAAACTATAGTTTCTGACATACATGATTCTGGTGGAACACTGTTTATTTGCTAAGGTCAGGGCTTTTTTCGGGCTTTATTAGTTTGCTGATACACGTACGCCTAGCCACCCAGATAGCAAAATACACTTGAGCCAGTTCCGGCTAGATTCTCGCCTGCCGGAGACTTACCCCTCAGAGCTCAGACTGACTACCTCTGCTGGACCTACTCCGGATGCCAGGACTCACTGCCCGATTCCAGCCCGAGTCAATCGAGCCAGATGCGGCGGCCGAGCGAGCCGACGCTGCCGCATGCGAGCCGGAATCAGCCCGCGACGCCGCGAGTAGGTTATGCGCTGTGGCCCGGAGCTGGCGCGATTGAATATATAAAACCCTCATATTTGTTAACGTTATTACATCCATTTGTGTTGATATGACAGCAAACGCATGCTGAGAAGTTCGGGGGGCGTGGTTGATTTTACATAAAGCGTTTGGTTGGAAGCTCGACTCCGCTCATTTTCGCGGCTCCTCCTCTGGCTCCATCAGACAATCCTTCTGTCTGGCTCCAATTTCAGCAGTCTTTTGCGACAGTTTGTGCCCGTCAAGCAGGCGTTTTGCCCTCAAGGCATTCAATGGGAAAAGGGGCTGTCGCGTCGTCCATATTTTCTACAGTCATTGGAGGGAATGCAAAACTTTGCGAGAGAACGCAAAAAACTTAGAAATATATATTTTCCTCCTATCCATTTTTTTTTTTTTTACCCATTTTCTTTTCTCCTTCCCATTTTTTTTAAACCCAGCCAATTTTTTTCTCCTCCACTACGTCTCTCCCGGTTCTCCGTAATAGTCTGACTCCTGACGCAGAATAAATGCAGGAAAAGACATTTTCCTTACTCATAATAACTAACTTTTTTACATTACACTTGTTAAAATTACAGACAATATTGTAAATCAGTGAGCCTGTGAAATCTGCTAAACAGCCACAACTCTGAGAACATTTAAAAAAAATTGTTCACCCCCCCCAAAAGAATTATCATTATCCCTTTAATAAAAGCACAACACCCTTACCTGACACTGTACATCTGACTGACCCTGCTCTGCCTGTTCCTCAATCATTTCTTTCTCCTTTGCCGGTAATTGTGACATTAGTATTTTAATAAGCACTCATTCTTAAAGCCAAGTTGCCTTGAACTTTTTGTACTTGGCGTTTAGCTGCACTGAAAAATTATCTTATGTCCATTTTCTCTGTCATTTAATCCAATACATGACACTGCAATGCAAGTTTATTTATGCTGTAGCACATTTTATACAAAATGGTAATGCAAAGTGCTCACAACAATAATAATAAAAAGAATTTAAAAAAGGTTAACAATTTAAATTCAAACAACCCTCGGATGGGAGGAGACATGAACCACCCCCACCCCCTCCCCCGTGCTTGCAGATAAATTAATATGTTGTGTAAAATTGCTGTTTACGTCTCTAGCCTAGTTACTAATTATGTGTGGAACAATTTAGGGGCATGTTGCCAACACTAAAAGTTACTTAAGCCACAAGTGTTATTATAAGTAAAAACTAAATGTATTTGCTTTCAGTCATATTTTTTAAATGTTAGATCATTTATTCACTTAACAAGTAATATATGCTGTTTAACCAGACATTCATAACTTTAAATTAACATTAGTTTATAATCACTTTTGTTTAAATTCTTCACAGAATTTATCTGTTTACTCACTCATAAGGATTCATGCTGGATGTAAAGATGATGTGTTTGATGAAGTGTTCTGCCAAACCCTTTAAGGACTCCATCAAACTACTGCTGATCATCTAAAGGGAAAAAGCCAGCAGGACGTGCCATTTACACTATATATGTGCATGAATAAAAACATAAAGTACCTCTTGGTGGACAGAAATGACAAGTGCCAGCATCTAATTCATTATTTGATATGAAGCTGTAAATAGAAATACATTTATGAAATCTGCCGGAGAAACATGGATTAAAACTTTGTTTTCACTTTTAAAGGACATGTTATTTTTAAGGACCATTATATCCATGGTTGCTTTCCTCGTTGCTGCTAATTTTGAGCTTTGTTTCTGTGGCTGTGCTCGTGCTGAATATGAGATCAATGGAGAATGCTGCCCGATGTGTGCTCCTGGTACAGTAAAAAAAAAATTGTACAATTAAACCTCAATAATTTTGGGCCAGTTTTAAAGTCTGGAGAATTTGACTCCAATTGCTCAAAGAAGCAATCTGCACAATTTAATGGATAGTTGGGAGGGAAAATTGATCATCTTTACACAAAAATTGTGCAGGTTGTGATTCTATTCGTTTGTAGTAAATTCCACATTTTCCTTAATTTATTTAATATTTTAGAAAAAACTATTTTAAGTTGTCATGTAAAATTACAGTAGTTGTCACTATTTTAAATAGTCTCCTAGCAACAGAGCATGTTGTGTTTGGAATGTTTGAAAACGCAGGTAATGCGTTATATCCATTGTCCCCTTACTAATTTTTTTAAGTAAAAAGGTGCATGATACTCATTGTTTTAAATCTATTTAAATGGCATGTGTATACTTATAAAAATGTAAATTCCAACCAATATAAAACATAATAAGAGTTAGTAGATCCTAAATGGTTAAAAGTTATGCTTTAAAGAAAGAAAGAAGCACAAAGATACATTGTGTTATGAACAATATATACCAGGGGTCACCAACATACCAGGTTCAAGTTGCCCGCGGGCCTGTTCTAAAAATAGCTCACCAGAGCACCACATATGAGTAAGCTGCATCTAATATTTTTATAGGTATTCCTTTTAAATCACACTTGCATCTGTGTAAATTTGAAAATTACTTTAAGTTATATATTTAAAAAAAAACTTTAAAAACAATTTCAGACAAATGAAGTGTTTCATTTTTGATATTTATGTAACTTGTTAAATCATTGTTGACAACTACTGTGAGAAATCATTAACATGATTGATGTCTTCACATAGATGAATATTATTAATTATTAATATTAACATAATTAAAAGTAAATGTTAAGAAAAATGTGTTATTTAATAACTGGTAGCCCTTCACACTAATCGGTACCCAAGAAGTAGCTCTCAGTTTCCAAAAGGTTGGTGACCCCTGATATATACAGTTAAAGTCAGAATTATTAGCCCCTCTGAGTTATTAGCACACCTGTTCATTTTTTCCCCCAATTTTTTTTTTACGGAGGGAAGATTGTTTCAACACATTTCTAAACATAATAGTTTTTTAGTCAGAATTATTAGCCCTCTTTGAATTTTTTTCTTTATTAAATATTTCCAGAATTATGTTTAACAGAGCAAAGAAATTTTAACAGTATGTCTGATAATATTTTTCTTTTAGAGAAAGATTTATTTGTTTTATTTCGGTTTGAATAAAGGCAGTTTTTAAATGTTTTAAAAACATTTTTGGGTCAAAATTCTTGGCCACTTTAAGCAAATTTTTTGAGTCTACAGAACAAACCATCGTTATACAATAACTTGCCTAATTACCCTAACCTGCCTAATTAACCTAGTTAAGCCTTTAGATGTCACTTTAAGCTGTATAGAAGTGTCTTAAAAAATATCTAGTCATATATTATTTAATGTCATCATGGTAAAGATAAAATAAATCAGTTATTAGAAATAAGTTAATAAAACTATTATGTTTAGAAATGTGTTGGAGCAATCTTCCCTCCATTAAACAGAAAATGGGGAAAAAATAAACAGGGGGGATTATAATTTAGGGGGGGCTAATAATTTTGACTTCAACTATATATATATATTAAGGCTAAGTCATATATAAACGTGTCTAGCTTTAAGTTAGACATGGCATAGGTAGTCAACATTGGTCCTGGAGAGCCACAGTCCTGCAGAGCCTTGCCAAAACCTAATCAAACACACCAAGCTAGTCAAGGAGTAAGGATTGCTATTGGATCAATACTCTGCAGGACTGCAGATGGCCACAGCTGACATATGACTATAACTGTCAAGTCAGCTGAGATCTCATGTGATGCAGATGCACACATGAAAATTTTTTTTTTTCTATGACAGTGTATGTGGGATGAATACACTCTCTTCAAAGAAGATTTTTTGGTTTGTGTAGGAAACCGTGTTTATTGGCACTGCACAGTAGATACCAGTACAACTTGTGTTCCATGTCTTGCATCAACTTTCACAGATGAACCCAATGGACTCACCAAGTGTTTTCCATGTACTGTGTGTGCTACAGGTGTGTGTCAATGATGAAAGAATTAACTTACAGTATATTAAAAAAAATAAGAAAATGTGTAATGCATTTAAACTCTCTGAATGATGCTGTGTTTTTGTGTCCACAGTTAAGGGACTAAAAGTCCAAAAGTCCTGCATGCGATTTGGAGATACACTATGCGAGCCACAGGAAGGTTTCCATTGCATTAAACAAAAAAAAGGCTCCTGTGAATTGGCAGTGGAGCACTCTAAATGTCAACCCGGTCAATATATTGAAAACACTGGTAAGTGTATACTCAAAAGTGTAAACTCAAATTTTTTATTTAATTAGATTTTTTCCCAATACATGTGCAGCTACTAATTTTTTGTTAAAATAGTAGCAGCTTTATTTGCATTTGACATGCAGTTTGTTTTCTTCTTTTTTTACAGGAACAGCTTTAAGTGATACAGTATGTGTTGATTGTACAGATGGATCTTACTCAAATGGCTCTGTAATGTCCTGCTTACCACATTCAAAGTGAGTAGAGTCTACAGATTTACTAATGGCAATTAAAGATTAGTCAGTTAAACCCAAAATACTAATATTACCTTGTTTAACAGATGTGAGATGATGGGATTTAAAGAAAAAAAAGCAGGAACAACATCATCTGATGCTGAATGTGAGAAAGTGACATCAGTTGGACTTGTAGTGTTAGTCACGATTGCAGTGGTTCTGGTAGTGGCTGGTACTGTGGCAGCATTGTTAGCCTGCATCAAATACAGAAAATGTAACCCACAGCACTCTAACAAAGGTAAGAGTTATATTCTTGGCATTGCTATGTGATGCAAACAGATGTGTGTAATTATGCTGTTTAAATACATTTTTTTATTGTAGATGTTGAATACAAATCAAAACAACCATCGGAGGATGATGGTACGTGAACATTTGATGTGTTTTTTTATTTTTTGTTTTGCTGTCAAACATTTTTAGCATTTAGCATTTTTAATTTTTTTTAATATTATTTCAACATTTTGTTTAGTATTTATTATATTTATTTTTCTTAAGAAACAGCCCATTTCACTTCAACGAACCAGCAACAGGTAAGCGGATTTGGGCCTGCATATAATGGTTCTTTGATGAAACCTCTTTTTGCAGATGTACATCACAGACATTTTTTATGGCTTTTGTCAGATCTCTGTGCCTGTGGACATTTTGGAATCTGCCCCACACTCTCTATAAAGACATCCAGTAGCTGTTCCACAACATATAAACTAAAAGGAGAAACCAGTATTAGTAACAGAGTTGTCACAATGGATGCAGGCTTATAAAACAGTAAACCATGTTTACCCTAACAATCAATGATCAAATATTATTTCTCATTTTCTTTCATGTGAAAAAGTTTTTGCGTTTTTCTGTTGTGTTGAGGCGTGCAATTAATTATTAATAAACTGTGGTTAAATTAGCCAGTTTCTACAGTGTTAAATGTTGATTTGTTATTGTTTCTAAAACATGCAATAAAATAAAAATGCTATGAGATTTTTTTTTATTAAGAAATGTTTGCATTGCCGTTAACAATATGTCGCTTGCATCATCAAGGCTGCATTCAGAAACAATTGGAGGATGCAGGAAAAAGCAATATAAAATGGCGGATTGAGCTAGAAACAAGGAAAACGTCTGAATGCAAAGATTGGAGCATGTGAAACATCCATGTTTTTTTTTGTTTTTTTTGTCCTTTTCCCTCCTCGTTTCTTTTTTGTTGCCCTTTCTAATATTGACTCGTCATCAGCAATAATATCATCAGAGTAAAATCTGGTACAGTAGGTGGCGAGAATGTTTTTAATGATTTAGTCGCCATTAGTGATGTGCGATACAATACCACTGATTTCCTATCCGATACCAAGTAAAATGAAGGTGAGTATCAGCGATACCGATCCGATACTTTGCCCAAAAATTACTGTTTGGGAAATTAAAGTAACAAGTAGTGTACTTTAAAGTGTCACTTCATACTGAATGTGAGACATATTACAGGTTATTCTTGTTTTTTTGTTTATTAATGAAGAATTATCATACAAAAAAATAGCCAACTTACATATTTATTGACAGCATCTGAGCATGTATATCTTAAAACGCCTGCCTGAACATCTAACGGCTCTAATGATGCTCTATAAGGGGTGGAGTAAAAACTTCTTTAGAAAAGAACCCTATAATTTCTTTCTGGAAATTGTATTGTTTTACACGCATATGCATGTAAAATAAATCCAATATTAGTTTTGGTAAAACATGCCCTCATTTTCAATATTAATTGAAATATATGCAAACAGCTCATACAGGACTGATGTTTCCTTTACAAATATTATTGAGATTATTCCATATTCTAAAACATAAAATCATTTACAAAAGCTAACATGTATTCTAATCTCTTATATAAATCATATAAATATGAGGTTATTGATTAAGAAATGAAGTTTATTATTTATTAGGAAAAGAAAAAAATCATACTTTAATAATAATATTAATGGTGATGACGGCGATTATTATTATTAAGTAGGATACTGTTCATTTTTTTTTTTTTTTTGAAAAATCTACTTTTACAATTTGACACATGTAAACGACTTAAAAAGGTTCTAACCAACAGGCCCATGTCATATACAGTAGATAACCCATAAATTAAAAGCATTAATCCTATGTTTTTTAGGACACCTATAGCTTTTGCCATGAGCTACGACTGTTCCAAATAGCATTATAATGTTTTCAAAGTGCACTGTGAAGGGAGCACAATTGTAAACATAAAGATCACTAAAACTGAACTAACGTTAACTTAATGAATTCTGTCTTGTGATTTATATGTAGGTGCTTGATTAGGTTTGTGGTATTACCACACCTCACTGTTTTGTTACACAAGTCACAAACCGCATCGTTTGAGTTAATGGAAGTGAAGTAGCTCCACACAACTTCGCTTGCGGTCACCCATATCCAATGACGCGTAGCATGCACATGGCTTGGCAGGCGGAAGAACAAGTAGTTCCGACTAAGTTGGCATTATTCAGAGAAACTATGGTAATAGTGGTTATTTTTCGCAGTATTTCTATTTCCAATAAGCTACATATTTGCACTAAATATCGATATTTTGTAAAGATAATCGATTCTAGAACATACAAAGCTGGTATCGGAGATATCGATATTTTAGTATCGATCCGCACATCACTGCTCGCCAAAAGCGAAGAAAGAACAAGAAGAACAAACAAGGAAAACGATGGTGTTTTTAAAAAGTTGTACGAGACGAAAATGACGATTGTAAGAACTAGCATTCTGCTTGTAGGTAAGAGGAGCTGCCCGTGAACGTTTGTGCTGTCCGGGATGTATTCCAGTCTTGTGTTTGCTGTGAGAAGGCAAAACAGAACAATGCAACGACAGTATGAAGTTCTTTTTGAATCATTTCGAAAGTGAAAGTTAAATACCATCCTATTTGTTAGTTAGTTATACAAATCGTTCTTTAGAAGTGCATGGTGTGGTACTTATATTCGTAAACCTTTTCTTAACAGTTTTTTGTACATTGCCGCGATCTGGAAATGCTTGCGGTCCCAGTGAATATAAATCAGCTGCTGGAGAGTGTTGTCCGATGTGCAGCGTTGGTAAGCTCACTAACACATTTAAGTGATACTAATATCAACAGTTCTACCATTTACGCTTTTGTAATTTTCTCTTAGACGCGCATTACTCACCCATTGCAGCGTGTGACGCATTTGAAATAAAATTCTAAAAAGTTGTCTAACAGCGACATCTACCTGAAATTCATTTTAAAGATATTTTTTATTAATTATATTCGACAGGCCTATATTGTAATAGCTGTTGCATGCATTGTTTTTGATTAGTATTGCATAGTGTATCTTTAAATTATTAACTAAACAGCTGAAAATAAAATATGCATAACGTTACGTAGTAAAAATTAAAGTTAAATTAAAAAAATACATGGGTGAAAATGACTAACCCATGCTGCCCTCGTCGGAGTATTGTTCTGAGCTTTTATTTATCTGATGTACGTACAGCTAGTTACTGTGAGGGTTAGGGGCGGGGTTGTAGGTGAGCGCATCGCCTTGACTGCATCAAAGAGCTTAGAATGACCAAGAGGCGACACTCAATAGTACGCTCCATTGCAACAGCAGCGCCCAGCAACAGCCCTGGATTCCGCCATTTTGGAGTGAAAGTGATCGGCCGTCTCATTACTGTCGCGATGGCAAGCAGCTGCTTTGTTTTTTTGTTTTTTGTTTTTATTTAAAAAGTGCATTAAAGCTGAGATACAACCTGAAAGTCGACAATACCGCACTTACTATCACAATCATCAGCACTTTTAATAGTTTAATTTACAGACTTATAATATGCTGTTGTTCTATTGGAGTTTTTATTCTAAAATGGCCGCCGCGCCATCTAGTGGCTGTTTCCCAAATTACACTACAGTGTCGCTTCTTGGTCATTCTAAGCTCTTTGATTGCATTACCCGTACGTTCACACCGAAAGCCCAATAGTATGATCGGCGAGAGCGTCAAAGTAGCCGGAAGTCATTCATTTTCAATGAGAGCCGGCGGCGATAGGCGACGATAAGCGGCGAGGAGCAGCGCGGCGCGTCTTCGCCGGCGTGAGCGCCGAGGAGAGTTGAAATGAAGTCAACTTTATGGTAATGAGCTATGACGCGGTTTTACTATGGTGATTTATAATAATTTTTTTAGCATTTTTGAACATTTTTATTCAGTATTGGGTTGTGTTTATAGTTGATGTGATAGAGCACAGACACGTGCACACATAGGGCTCAACCTGTGCAGTGCACATGCCCTTTTTAGTCTTGGATAGAAAGTGCCCTTCCAAAATGATCCGAAATGCCCCAGCCAGCCCAAACACAGACTAAAATAAATAACGTTAGCCCAAGACTTTCTCCAGAATAAAAACTTTTAGACTGTAGGAAAAACAGTGAAAATGTTCTTGGTCTATTAAACATGACTTTTGACTTCACATACATGTGTGTGTGTGTGTGTCTTGTTTACTACACCCCTTTCACTTCTCATATGAAACCACAGAAATATAAGGCATATTGACAAAGCAGTATGATTACGTATGTATGTAAGCATATGTATGTATTGGATTGACTTCCATGGAATAACGCTGCATAAAAATTAAAATACAAAATTCACACAAACATACAAAAAATTAAAATGACAACAAACAGCACTTTAAACTGAGAGAGAAATAAAATACAGCACATGCACATCCTAATGATTTATTAGTAACATTTAGTTATATTGGATAGGTTACGTAATGTTTTACAAAGATGTGTTTTGTTTGCGTGTAAATCTAAATAAATAACCATATGTAATGCTCTTTATGACTTTTTAAATTATCAATGAAAATACAAAAAAGGTATTTAGCAAAGCCAGGTATAAACCTTAGTTAAACAAGATAGTGAATAAAGTGTAATGTGTCAGTCTCATCCAATGAGCATTCAGCTGTGTCGTCAGCCAGTCGTTTCCCATAATGGTAAGGCAGTCTTTGGAGAGCAACTGCTGCTGACTGCTTAATCCGAGGCACCCACCTCGCGATCGTGAGAGTTTTTTGGTGCACGTCAGCGTGAGTGATGCAATCTCAGCTTGCATCATAAATGCTGCATCCAGATACTATTCTATTGCATTGAGGTTGTAGTTATCATGCCTGTTCAGGGTATCTGACCATGCCCCTGCTAGGCACGTCTATGATAGTAATAGACAAAACTAACACAAGCAAACATCCATTTCTCCGTGAAAGCTGACGTTAACAGAGTGAAGGAACTATATGACGTCACCTTGTAGGCGAATCGGATGCTAGCATAAAACTGGTTCCGTCGATAAAATCCCTATAGGATTTTCTCATAGGCTTTTCGAAGATTGCAAATAATAAGCTCTGTGTTCAAACAATGTGTTTGAACTGTGATCAAAACAAAGACTGTTACACAGGACAAATAATGTTTATATATTTATTTATTTATCAATTTCTGCTGCAAGTATATGAAACACCATTAATAAGAACATGATCGATTAAATCAGAATAAAAATATTAAAATGTATTTCTCATTTAGGTTTTTAGCACACAGGTAACAAAATTAGTTTTTATTTACTGTGCAGACAGCATTAACACCTGTTAAATAATAACTAGAAATACTTATTTAGTACTTATTTACTTATTTAGCATGATTGTAAAACTACAGCATGTGTCTTAATCATGTATTTACTGTCATGGTTAAATGTTTAGTGTCTTCTCACAGCTGAACAACTTGATTTTACATTTTTTAAGGATCAATAGTTCGCAGTGACTGCAGTGGTGATTCAAGCACCACATGTAAACCCTGTCCTCCAGGAACATTCATGAATGAACCAAATGGACTCTATAAATGTTTCCCTTGCAGAAACTGTGCCGAAGGTGCGTTCCTATTGCCAATTTTTTATCACCATGTATCAGACTGAAATCAGTAATTGTCATATTGCATTTTTGTGTGCCATTATATGCTCTTTTAGATCAAGGTCTTTATATCCAGAGTAAATGCACAACAATGCAAGACAGCATCTGTGATGTGCTTAATGATCATTACTGCATTGAGCTGTCAAATCAACAGTGCAGTCATGCTGTACGACACAGCATTTGCAAAGCAGGACAAGAAACAAAAACACAAGGTACTGTTTAACAATACTTCACACTTAATTTTATCATCACAATTCATTGTTTAAAGTGTTAGTTAAAGCAAAATATTGGGGAGAATATTGATTAACAATGGACCTGCTTATAGGAACAAAGAACACAGATACAGTTTGTGTGGACTGCGCTCCTGGGTTTTATTCTCCATCAGGTATAAACTGTACCAAATGGACAAAGTAGGTGAAATATTATTTCTACTCTCTTTATCATTTGTATTTTATCTGTTTTTAATTATAAATGTTTATCTCAGTTGTTCAGCTATAAATGAAATACAGACAGGAAATGGAAGCTTTGTAAAAGATGTCACATGCACACCGAAATCCCGGGAAAGATATGGTCTCATATGCAGTGTCACACTGTCTGTGGCTGTAATAATACTCTTTATTTCTTCTAACCTGTTTTCAAAGTGTGAGTATATGTGGTATTCATATTAATATTGTAAAATCCTGTATATCACAGTAGTTTGTTTTATGTGATGGATTGTTGTTCAAACCTGTCACCCAAACAAGACAAAATGTGATGCTTACATTAATAGTGTGTGTGTATATAAATTAAATTATAATCATATTTTTTTTTTCAAACAGTAGTGTCAGAATGTAGTTTGTTATCTATATATATTTTTTTTTGACCGTTTTACGATTTAGTGTTTTAAAGACTGTTTTACTTCTATATAGGTCGGGAAAATCTAACAGTAAGTCCTTTTATTCTTCAAACTGAAATAACACGATTCTGCACATCTCACTTATTTGAAATTTTTTTTGCTTAGTTTTGACATCTTGAAAAAATGGTGTGATTTACTTGGATGTTGACTGATGTTTTTGCTTTACTCTCAACAGAATGCTGTTCAGGAAACTGTTGATTCTAATATGACTATATCTAACAGCACACCGTAAGAACTGAGGCTTTCTTCTGTCTATTTATGCAGATGACCTGAAGTTATTATACATGTCTAATACACATTATTATTATTTGTTTGCAGGGAGGAAATCAATGAGCAGTAATACATTTTTTTCAAAACTCTCGAGCAAACCCAGGCTTCTATCTCTATATCATGCACTTCTCCGTGTGCTGTGACCTTGACGTGGTGGAGAAGCTTAAGTCCTTCCAGAAACTTCCACCTGAAATAGTTTTCTTCACCAGTGTATTGAAGAACGCCAGGGTAAACTCATCTAGGAGGGAAAACCAACAACAGCAAGAAGTAAATCAGCAGAGAGTAAGAAGGATCCATACAGTTGGAACAGAAAAGGTCACAATGTAAATTATATTAGTTTCAGCTTACAAATCAGGCTTCGTATTTACTAGAGCTTTGTGTTATGTTGTGCTCATAATGGTAACGCCTCAATAATCATTTGCTGTTTAATATCACACGTTTTACTTGTCTACTTTACTGCTTTTGAGTTTAATATAGATTTCATACTGTCTGTACTTTATTTTAATTATGTATATACATTCAAAGTCCCCCTTTATATTGGTTTCCTAATTTCTGTTTCACGGAGAGATCTGTTTCAACACATTTCTAAACATAATAGTTTTAATAACACATTTCTAACAACTGATTTATTTTATGTTTGCCATAATGGCAGTACATCATATTTTACTAGATTTATTAAAAGATACTAATATTCAGCTGTTAGAATGTCAAATCAATTCCATGCGTGTTCAATAAGAAAAGGTCTGGAGAGTGTTTTCTTCAATGCCAAAAATAATAGCAATTTATTAGATACAAATGAATAATTTGATGACAGAGCTCTGGGTTACGTTACCCCAATGCAATACAAGAATTACATTCGAGAGGTTCGCAACTAACATACTTTTCTTGACTCCAGCATATATACACAACTGATATTAACAGGTGGAGTTTTGGTTTAATGTCACTTCTCAGTCATTCTGCAGTCCTTGTACCCCAGACATACTTCCTCTTTCTGCAACCCTTCTCTGCATACCAGAACTGAACAATTAAGTGCATCTTAAATATATTTCACAACTTTTACAAGCATCATGCTTTTTGTGACAGACTTTTGTATTAAACAGCAGTCTGGAACAAGGGCCCACACTATATTTATTCTTATTCTGCTATTTCCCTCCTGTCAGCAGCAGAAGTGTCTGGTCAATATGTGGTATAATACAAAAGAGAAAGATTGATTAATCTGTTGTTAATCTAAATTTTTTTCTATTAAAAAAATAAAGACACAAAAGTAATAAAAATAAATTCTTTTTCCCACACAGCTTAAAGTGACATTTAATGGCTTAACTAGGCTAATGAGGCAAGTTAGGGTAATTTGGCGTATAATATTGCTTAAGGGGCTAATAATATTTACCTTCAAATATATATATGAGAAAACATTTAGAGGGTTAATGTTTAACTTTAACTGTACATCAGCCCTAAAAGTATTTTTTTTTTCCAGTTTTTGAATTAAAATTTCCAGATAATGTGATCAAAGACATTCATGTTATTGTTTAATCAAAAGAAAATAATTTCTTAGCTTATTTATAGGATATTGGCTGTTTGAGCAGAAATTGTGCAGGACCAATTCTTCTGGCAATATTATAGGCACTAATATTAATAAAGCAATAATCCTGTTTTTGTATGACACTCCGTACAGAGGTTTGCACTAAATCTCCATAGTTGTAGTTTATTTTTTGTATGTTCTAATAGGGGTTAAATACTTTGTAAAACCTTGTGCTGCCCTTGTTTTATATAATCCATTTACAATCTTTGTGATCTAGACAACAGTATTTTTATGCTTTTATGTAAAATTCCTTTTTTAACCAACATGGTTATTAAATAACGCATTGTTACTGTATTTTAGAAAATTCATTTTAAATGAAATACCACTTACCATTAGATGCAGCAGAACGCCACTAATGGCTAAAAGATTAATGGCTGAATGATGTCCATGTTTTGAAAAACAATTGTAAATACTTTATATATTTTTGTCAATATTTAAGATTTTTTTTGTAGATTTTCAATAATGTTGCCATATGACTAGAATCAATCTTACACAAGGTGCTACAAAAAGGAAAGAAATGACATTGACGTTTTAGTCTTTGTGTATGTACATTGGCAGGGCCAGACGGAATCTGCGGACGTTTTTTGCTATTTTTGCGGAGAATTTTAGTAAAAATCTGCGGATTTCTGCTGAATTTTTTTGGGAGTATCCAGCGGAGTATCATAGCTAATACCTTAGTATATTAAATAAAAAGTAATAAATTACTGAATAAAAACTGAATAAATTTAGATTTACAATTACTCAAGTAAATAAACAGAATTAATAATGGGCTAAAAATCTGTGGAAAATCCATGAAAAATCTGCTAAATTCTGCGAGCGCAGATTCCGTGTGGGCCTATACATTGGCAATGTGTATGTATAAAAAATACATTGTACAAAAACAGACATTTGCATTTTAAATGACATTATAAACCAGCAGTGTTTTTTTTTTTTTTGAGAAAATTTTTCTGAAACGTGTAATGCATTCCTAATTTTAGTGGTGGTACTGAATTTTTGACTGTATCAAATTAATTTAGAAATTGTTGCCTGCTGCAGCAAGTCATGGCATTTAGACAATTTTTTGAGCAAATATTATTTGTGGGTCCAATAATAAAAAATAAAATACACACCAAAGCACATTAAATATTTAGTAAAAAAAAACAAAAAACTATGCAGTTAAAGCATGGTCAACCATTTACTTAATCTTCTATTATTATGAAGTGATTTTCAGAGTGTTGCTGATTGTCAAGTATTCAGTGCAAGAAACTGATTTTTTTTTTGCACAAAATCTCTGAAGAAAATTGAATTTATGTTAACAATTTCTTACTTGATTTGAATATAACACACATTTCATGAATAACACAGCAGATAAACCGATCTTATGCTGTCCATTTTGCTGCATTGCATATTTGCACTAATCTCTGTAATGTCTTGATAATTTTGATTAAAAAACTTATAAATGGACTCTCCTGTGTTCCTTTTCAGGTCATTTGTTATTGCTATTTTTCTAGCACGTAAACAATATGACAGACAACACAACAGATAATAAACCACTAACAATTATTAAATAAATGGTTTACTTTTTTATAAGATCAAGAACAAGAAAGAGCAGTGTCTGAATCAAAGCTAAAAGCATTCAATTATTGTTCAAAACATTCAACGAAAGAATGTATGTGTCTCAACTATAGAAATAAAATAAATGAGTCTAAACACAACAGAACTGGAAATAGTTCACATTTAAAAATATTTACAGGTCAGTGAGCAGTTCTGTAGCAAAATACAAACATGAAAAAGGTATTACTCCAATAATGTAACAGCTTTCCTTTCATCATCTGCTTAGCAAAAGGTTTCCCAAAAAGTTTTTTTTCAAATCACAAAAGTTCAAAAACATCTATTATTAGACTATAGAAAATCAAGTAGTGACGAAGGCACAGAAAACTTACAAAGATGCTATTTAAAGTTGCTTAATATACTCTGAACACCTATAAATAAGACAAACACACAACAATTGACATGTACTCAAAGACTGAATAAAACAAATGCAATAAAATGCATTAAAAGGAAATGTTAGTAAATAGCGATTCTGTACAAACTATGTACATTAGTTTTCTGATAGTCTCTGACGCATGATGGTGTCAGGCTAAATGTTCATGTTCTGCATCCGCTGCAGCGCAGCTTCCTTCTCCTTCAGCAGATCCTTCAAACGCTTGATTCTCTCCAGACGTTTGATCTCCTCAGCATCCAGCGTTTCCAACGAGTACAACTCTTGCATCGGAAATTTGTCCATTTTGGGTCCTAAATTGTTTTTAGACAAAGGCATGCTGGTGTAGTTTGAATCGCTTTCACATTGTCCAGTGTTTTGCTGTGATGTTTCAGCATTGGTGTTTCTGCTCCACATGTTACTGATTTCAGGTTGGACTGAAGGAGCTTCAGCAGTTTGGTTTGTGCCAACAGCAGCAGCACTTGAGGTAACGTTCACTGAGGAAACGTTGAGTAATGTTTCACTAATAGAGCTTTCTAACGGAGCCAAGTCTTTAAGTGGACTTTTTCCTGACGGTTTCTTTTCTGATTTTTTAACAGGATCTTTAGCTTGAGGTTTCTGAGCTTGACAATTTTCTCCTGGTGGTTTATTCGAGCAGATGGTTTTTGTCCCTTTATTTGAGTCAGTACATGGATTTGTTTTCTCATGTGATGAAGTGGATTCTGAAGCCCCTAAAATTGTCCCACAGGGACAAGCCGTGCACATCTTACCTTTTTTTAAACGAGGTGGAACATTCCTTGCAGGGAAAGGAGAGAAGAGAGGACTAGCAGTCTGTGGGGCTTTTTGTGGGAGTGAGGGAGTGAGACCGCATGTGCTACCAGAAACATCTGCTGCCATTTCAGATCGTGTGTGATCCTTGTTGGCTGCAGATTCTGATGGTGAACAAACCTCTTCTTGACAGGTCTTTGAGACCAAACTGCTTCCCATGGGAATGTCTGAGCATTCAGAGATGTGTATTGTGTTTGTGGTGCTTAAAACGGGAGTATTTTCAGTCTCTTCCTGCTCTTGCTTTTGCCTTTTGGCCTTCAGAACTTCATCCTCCTCTGTTTTAGGGTGGGGAGCCTACAAGAACAGCAAATGAGCAAAATCAGCATGAAACAAATCTTTGATTTTACTCACAGTGATCCCTCTCCAAAAGAAGATTACTGTTAGTTATTTACAAGTACAAAGTAAAGGAAGAAATGTATTTAGGAGTTAGAATTCTGTTTTAAAAATGGAAAGAAAATAAATAAATAAATAAAAGGTTCATTTATCGTAAGCAACAATTTAAAACTAAAAAGTTTAATTTAGCTTTAATTTAAACTCAAACTTTGGTAAAACTTTTTGGTGAAACTCCAGATAATTAGTAAATGTGATATGTATAACGTGAGACAAGCAATAAATAATGTATTGCTTGTTTATACATATTAAATGCTGAAATGAACAAACTAAAAGCAATAAATGCAGCTGAAGTAATGTTTATGTTAGTTCATGTTAGCTAAAGTAGGAGCAGGGGTGTAAAGTAACAAATTACAAATACTCAAACTACTGTAATTTCCCTTGAGTGCATTTTTAGTGCAGCATCAGTACTTTTACTCCACTACTTTCCTTCAACATGCAGTCTCTATTTTTTCTTGTCTACGGGGATTAGAAAATTCAGTTCTGTGAATCCTGTCCAATCAAATCACACATAGAAGATAAATCCCATCATAATGAATTACCTCAACACATGGGCGATTAATAATTGCAGCAAACTGTTTGAAAGCATCAAGTGTCCAAGAAAATGTCCAAAATCTTTACACGCAATGACCCAGAGAATGTTTAGATGGATGTCACTGATGAGAGGATGACAGATGAAGAGGGGTCTCGATGCAGACCTGGTGCAGAGCAATCTGAGCTACATGCAAGGCTTTTTAATGTGCTCACCTAACCCCACCTCTAACCCTGCCCCTCAAAGTGACATCACTAGCTCCATTAAGCGAATTGTGTCTGACATTGCATCTCTGAGATATGCAATCTCAGTTTGCACCATCAACGCTGCATCCAGATATTACTGGAGAGACGTTTACTGTATGTTGACTGAAATGGTCTTACCAACACCCTGCAGGCACAAGACATCAATATGATGTCAGATTGACGTTGTACCCCAACGTTGTGGGGATGTTGCATTTTGTTTGAAAATGAAAATCAAGTTGACTCCAGAACCCAATGTCAGGCTGATATCAATGTCCAACCTAAAATCAACATCTAATGATGTTACAGCTTGACGTTGTATGGACGTTACCACTATGACGTCTATCAGATGTTGGATTTTGGTTGGTATTCCTGATGAATAAATGTCAGTATTTGATGTCAATATAGCGTTGTTTTAAGATGTCGACTCGACGTTGGATTTTGGTTAGTTTCTTACACAATCTAAAATCAACGCCATTTGATGTCTTTATTGGACAACAAAATAAGGTTTTCCCAAGACACTGGCAAGACTTTTGGTCACGTTGACATCACAACCTAAATCAAACCTAAAACTACTGTCTTATGACATTGTGTGCCTGCTGGGCAATAACTGAATGCACTACAGAATGTTACATTTAAACACATCCACAAATTACATGTAAATGCATCAGCTTTTTACAGCGTAATACTCACTACCCGAGTACTTTTGAAAGGGCTACTTTTTACTCACACTTTGAGTAATATTCACAACTAGTACTTTTACTCACACAACATTTTTAGGCAAGTAATGGTACTTTACATAAGTACGATTTTTTCAGTACTCTTTCCCCACTGTGTAGGACCCTTTGAAATTCCTTTTTTTTTTTTGCTTTCACATTTCATAACTTTTTAGTGAGTTTTATTTCCATTTTTTTCTAAAATGAAATCTTAATGATTTCTATTTCATTTAAATCATGAAGCTTGTTCAACTTAATTTTAATAGAGTTTAATAACTAAGAAAAAAGTTGAATTTATGTATTATACCTGTTAAAATTCCTTTCAAAGTACATGCATTTTACATTATGACAAAATCAAGACAATTGAATCCCTGACCTGGATCATCTGCTGGATTTTTGACTGCAGCTTTGAATCCTGGATCACCTTACGAAGGCCATCCAATGTGCGTTTGTTTATGATTAGTCTCTCTTTCTGCTGATCACTCGCCACAGTCGGTTTTGTTTTTTGCAAGCAAATTTGGATATAAGAGGTGATGCCAAACTCTTTTCTCAGTTCACGGTCACTCTTGGGCTGATGACTTGGAACAGCATTTTTAAAAGCCTGGGAGAGAAGAGGACATGAAACATGTCAGGCCTTCAACAGGTGACAGATCATTATTCCAGTAAAAACAAACATACATCTACCGAAAAAATTTAAAAAACCACCTAAAATTTCTCACTGCATTTATTAGGAATGGATTGGAGTACAATATTTTTTTATTCAATAAGAGGTAACGGCCAATGCAAATCTCAAATGAAAATATTGTCAAATGTTTCTTTAACTTGCTTTAAAAGAACAAATGTTTAGTTAGTTGTGATTTAAAATATTTTCTATAATTTTTTATTGCTTTTTTAACTATTTTAAAGTTAAGACATTAATATCGTGTTGTCTAAAAATTAATATTAACAACATTACCATAAACTACATAACAAAAATGTGTAAATTACAACTTTCTTATGCTGGCAATCATTCATTTTTAAACTAAATATAAACTGTTTTACTCAAATTTTAATCTAGATAAATTCCCCAATAGCTGTGGATCATGGTGTTTTACCTTTTCAATGTTCTCAGTAGTTGGATTACAGAGGTTTTGGGGCTGTTCCAATACTCTGGCATATTCAATGACAACTGCATTATCTTGACATCTCGCTTCCGATGAACTTTCATTAACGACTTCTTTCTCTTCCTCTATATTCACACTTTCAGAAACAAAACTCAAGTTTTTGTCAGCCACGTCATTTTCCTTGACCAGCTCATCCATCATCACGTCACTCAGATTATCAATACCGCTATCACTATCCACTTCTGCATATGCCACATTTTCTCCTTTCTTCTGTGTAACAGATTTTCTTCTTTGCTCTGCATGTTCTTCACAAGCCTTCTGAGAGTCTGAACTTGCTGCTTTTGCACTCGTCTTTGGTGGAATATATGAAACAAATATAACATTGGATTCTTCATCGCTCTCATCTGCCTCTGTTTGACTGGCAGTAGGCAGATTCCCCGGAGCTCCTCCCAGACATGTGGACGTCTCTTCGTCGTCATCATCACAGAGGTCAATGACTTCACTTACGCTTGGTTTGGGGTCTGGTTTAGAAGAGGTTGATGCTAGTGCAGAGCTGGCTGGGAGAGCAGGAGAGATGCTCAGAATCCCTCGTTTCTCTCCTTCGCAGATCAACACATCCTTAGCAATTTCCGAATTCTTCCTGGCCACAAAGTAGACCTTCCCATTGCACATGACTAGCGCATTGTCTTTGCCCGGGGTGATTTTTTCTAGGATGGTTTGAGGAACTGTGGGTTTGCTTGCTGCGATTTCATTTGAGTTGACATGTGTGACTGTTTTTACGCTGTCAGAGTTTACATTCTGTGATGAAACGGGTATAAGGCAACGAGCAGATGCGCCAGTTCCCTCTTGGATGACCCATTTAATGGGAGTATTCACTTCATTGGTTTTAGGAACACAAACAGGATTTTGCAGGTTTGTAGGGGGATTTAGAGAGAGGGTCTTTTGTACTTGACTCTGCTTTGGGAGCGAAACTACTTGCTGGTTAGAATTTAGCCTCACTGAATTTACAGGGGAAACAAGCACGACAGTTGGTGGAGTTTTGTCAGGGTTTGAGATGTTATTCACAGAGTTCAATATGCGACATTTGATGGACTGCGGGAGTGCAGTTGCTGGCATTGTTCTTACTTTTGCATTTGGAGGGATCTCCAGGAAATGACCGTTTGGGAGAACGGGCGACTTTATGGTTACAGGCAACGTTTGGACCGCTGTCATGCTCTTTGGACTGGGTTGAGGAGATAACTGGACTGTATACTGGGATACCGAGTGTGCTGAAGGAGAAATGTGCACTTGCTTTGGATTGTGAATGATGAGGTTATTTGTTCCACCTTGTTGAGTTCGGACCAGGTTAGATAAAGTTCTGACCTCTGGTGAGGTTTTAAGGACATAACGTCCATCTGCTGTGGCCTGAAGGGAAGGAAGTCGAGGCTGGGTTTGAGATGTCGAGGCATTGGGGGGATGAACAGGCTTTGCATAGGCTTTCAGCTGTAGATCTACATTATCTCTATACGAGTTAAGAGAGGTCGGATAAAACTGTCCGTTCACTTTCTGTACAGGGATCAACTTCATGACATTTTTCCCGTCTGGTCCCACTGCAGGCATTGCTTGGTAGTAGACTCCAGTTCCACTAAAAGATGAGAAAATGTGTCAATTTAGATATAAAAAAAACTAACCAAGACTAAAAAGACCACACACTATTACATTTATAGAAAGAAATTAATATTTGAAAGACTGACCAAAAATGACATTAACCTTTTTGCTAGGTAGCACTGGTGCTCTTAACATCAAAAATGTAGGCACACCAACCGAAATTTAAGCGCTCCGACCAAAAATGATGAGCACCGTTACTACAAGCTGTATACAACAGACTTATTGCATAAGAAATCAACACTAATCAAAACTAACACACCAAAAATTCTGTATGCGCTGCTTGACATGAATGAGTTAACGATAATAACTGTGCTGTGTTCTTACGGGTGGTGTCTGATATTTCACAGATAATATTGACATATAACTTATTATTTGCATATGTCATCTTAAAAGCAATAACAGTCTTTTCATGAGCTGCAATATTAGTTTAATTTCAATGCATGCAAGCTCTTCTGCGATGGTGTAGTCCGCAGTGTTAAATTTTACATATAGCAGCCAACTGCACGGCTGCATAGCAGGATTTTGTTTACTGCAAGTTGACATGACAACAACTGTTTTTAACCTTTCCCCGAGTGCTGCATTTGGAATTTTTTAGGTGCAAAGATGCATTCTGCGTGAATGTCTCCTAAATCTGTGCATGCTGTGAACATTTTCCAGTGGAAACAGGTCGCACAGCAATAATTTATGCACTCGCACAAATGCTACGAAATATTTTGAGGTCGCATAGATAATATTTTGGGTGCACATGCTACCAAACCGATCACAATTTCAAGCCCTGAAACATTTCAGTGCTGATTTTTAAATTGAATAAATGCTGTTTTTTTTCTATTCATAAAAGGTATTAATTATAATTAATAATAATTTATAATTTAAAAAAAAAATTTTCAGAACAACCCCTTCCCCAACAATTGAACCTCTTAAAGATGCAGAAATAAATAATACAAAAAATAAGTAAATAAAAAGTACTGCCATCATAAATACTTTTCAGGGGATACATTTGTACATCAAGTCACATTGTGTTACATTGTAGTTACCAAAGATAGCATTGGTTAGTGGTTAATTAACCTCTAAATGTACATATCTAAAGATGATGTAATACTTTTCCACCTCTTCAGAAAAATATCAGTCTTCATTTGTACAAGCAGTTATTTTTTCCATTACATAGACCTGTTTCAGGTTTGAATCCACTGAGCCACCTTCTAAGAACTTCTTCCATACAATGTAATGTTATATTTGCAACCAGTGATAATATCCTTAGTACAAATCTTGTTTTTTGTTTTTTAAAGATGTCAGTATAAACCAGGGCTGCACTAGTCACATCGCAAGATATGCAATGTAGAGCCTAAATTAGGCATGGGACGTTAACCATTTTACAGCGGTTTGGAAAAGTCAAGGTTTTAAAAGCATAAAAATTTTCTGCATTACCGTTCTGAAGGTATGTGTAAGATTTTTTATTTACCTCTTTTAGAATTATTTTTTGTTGTTGTTTTTTAGGACAACAGTATCTCCTGCAGAAAAAAAATCAAAGATGCCATTTTAAATAAATGAATCGTTGACTTCTGCTGTCCTATGAATGATTTAGCCTGACATGTTTACTGCTCCAAAACATTTGAAATGTTTCTTAAAATAAAATATTCTGTTTAAAAGGGAAAAATGTTTTAGTTTTTTACCCAGACATTTAAAAAGAATATATTTTAGAGCAGCAATTACAATACTGCGAAACCGTGATATTTTTATCTATGGTTATTATACGAACAGAACCTTATACCAGCCCATGACTAGTCTGAATTATAATTGACCAGGAGCTAAAGAATTGTATTCAATTACTGTATTTATGCAGAATTATGCAAAAAAACAAATGTTTTTCTAAATTAGCATTTTTGTCTTGTTTCTAGTCCAAATACCTACATTTCAACACAAAACAAGATTATTTTACTTGTCCCACTGTCAGACAGTTTAGTTTATTTTAAGAAAAACATGAAAGGTAAAAATTAAAGAAAATTTTAAAACAAGACAATATTTTACCTGATATGAAAATATTTAAGATATTTAGGCTAGAATGCTGGACAAAAAGTAAGAAAAGCATTATTTGCACTGTGATTTTTCAATTTCTGTACATGAATATTGTTAGACTTCACAGAAAACCATCAAATAGTGCTATTCAGACTATCTTATAAAACTATTCTTCATCGCAGAAAATTAAAATATCCCAATATCAGATTTTTCCAATATCGTGCAGCCCTAATATAAACCAGGGTTGTGGATACTCGATCCTGGCAGGCCGGTGTCAGGCAGTTTAGTGCCAACAAGAACAAAACACATCTGCCTATGACTTTCTAGGCAGCAAGACACCGGTTAGCATGTTTAGGTGTGTTTATTTAGTTAGAGCAGGACAACATGGGTTATAATATTACTGTTTTCAGAGACATCTCTCAAATGCAAAAACAAAAATCTTACTGACCCTCCATCAATTGTGTTTAATATTTATGGCTTAACGTTACATTACATACAAACAGTTGTGCACCCGTCTCATTCTCAGTAACTTAAGATATTAATATTAATATTAAAATAATATTCAATTGATGAAAACGTGAAACTGTCATGTAAAATATAAGCTGCAAACATTAAACATATACTGGACATTTATCACATCCAACATGTGTCGATTTATGTACGCAGTTCAGTGAAATTGCTCTGGAGTTTTGACTGAAATGTCTTTTTAAATTTTGTTTGGTTTTGCGCGTTTTCTGAGGTTATATACCCGCGCGCGACATTAAGACACCAAAACACTCGCCATTTTGGACGAGCTTACAACGACCGAGCAAAAACACAAACATTTCTTCATGAATAACATCAGACAAAGAACTTATAAACTTACCCCTCCATCTCGACAATCCGTAGACATCACACCTCAAGAAAAACCTCGTGTTTTCTTCAGCGAACCGTTAGATTTTATCTATAACACTGAGCGAACGAAGCTCTCGACAGGATACGGAAACACACACACACCGGAAATGCGTTTTCAAACTAAAAGACACACGAAACGTTTAGGAATGTGGGGGTAAACGCTATCCCAGTTAAAGAAAGACGCAAAGTTGTTATGAGTTAAAGTTAATAGTGAGGCAACCCTAGATGTTTGGTAAAGAGCTCTGGGATGCTCAGTCGACACTTTTATGTCAATCTGAGTATTATATCAGTCTGTATTAGAACAAAAAAAAAACTATTCAAGCTTTTGCATAGTCTCCAAACAACCCCATCACGTAGATATAAGTTTAATCCAAATTCTTCTCCATTCTGTTTAAAGTGCAAAGTTGAAGAAGGTGATTTCATGCATTGTATTTGGAATTGTATACATATTAAAGGCTATTGGGTACAGATTTAGTTGGAGAATAAGTCATTCATTTTCTTTTCGGTTTGGTTCCATTATTAATTAGGGGTCGCCACAGCAGAATGAACCACCAACTTATCTAGCGTATGTTTTACGATGCCCTTCCAGCCACAAATCAACACTGGCAAACACCCAAACACACTCGCACACGGCCAATTTAGCTTATTCAATTCACAAGTGGAGCACCTGGAGGAAACATGCAAACTCCACACAGAAATGGCAACTCGCCCAGCGACCTTCTTGCTGTGAGGCAATTGTGCTATCCACTGCGTCACCATGACGCTACTAGGAGACTTATATATATATAGTCTTATATTTAATACAAGATGTGACTTTTGCTCTTATTTTTTGTTAGGTCTTGCTGATAATTATTTGAAAAGTGCAACAAACAGGAAGTTGTTAAACGTTCTTACCTATGCTGCCCTTAAGAATATATTTCTTAAATGGATATCTGATAAAACACAAACAAGATCAGACTGGCATAAAGTAATATTTGATCTTATGTCATTGGAATATATTACCCACTGGTCAAAAGGAAAATGTGACAATTTTGATCAGATCTGAACTCATTTCCTTGACTATGTAGGTCCCAGGATTTCGGGTACATTTTTGCAAAATCTTAATCACCATAACCCTTGGTTAATTTATGTATTCTTCCATTGTTAATGCTTTGTGTATTTTTATGTTGTTTTTTTTTATCTTCATTATGTGCTATGATTATGAGAAATTTGTTGGTTTTAATCTGTGGTCATTGTTCTGCTGTTTTGTTTCGTTAAAATAAAGGGGAAAAATGAAAGGAAAAAAACAAAAAAAAAGTCAAATAATCAAAGAACGAGAATAAATATAATACACATCTAAACTGGAATATAAAAATAAAGATGGGGGAAGGTATGACAAAAAAAAAAAAACTGACAGAAAGAAAAGAGCCAAGCGAATAAATGAGAAAATTGGTGAGATAAAATAAGCAAAAAACTTAAAGCAAAATACATGAAAAACGGAAGATGCTGTACAAGCAGTGGTGTAGAGTAAAAAATTACAAATACTCAAATTACTGTAATTGAATAGTTTTTCTCAGGATTTGTAATTTACTAAGTAGTTTTAAAAATGTCTACTTTTACTTTCCCTTGAGTACATTTTTAGTGCAGTAACTGTACTTTTACTCCACTACTTTATTTTTACTTGTCTACAGGGATTAGAAAATTCAGTTCTGTGATTTCTGTCCAATCAAACCACACATAGAAGGTAAATCGCATCATAATGAACTACTTCAAGACATGGTCGATTTATAATTGCAGCATACTGTTTTGAAGCATTAAAAGTGTTAAAGAGGATGTCCAAAATCTGTACACGCTATGACCCAGAGAATGTTAAGATGCATTTCACTGATGAGAGGATGACGGATGTTTACTGTAAGAAGACAGAAATGGCCTATAACACCCAGCAGGTACAAGATATCAACAGGACATCAGACTGATGTTGTACCCCAATGTTATGAGTGTTGCATTTTGTTTGGAAATGAAAATCGGGCTGACATCAGAACCCAACATCAGGCGAACATCAATGTCTAACAGTCAACCTAAAATCAGGGGTCATCAGTCTCGGTCCTGGAGGGCTGGTGTACCTGCAGGGTTTAGCTCCAACTTGCCTCAACACACCTGCCTTGGTGTTTCAAGTATACTTAGTAAAACATTGATTAGCTAGTTCAGGTGTGTCTTTATCGGACATCAAAATAAGTTTTTGCTTAGACACAGGCTAGACTTGAATTTGTGTCACCTGACATCACAACCTAAATCTAACCTAATAATAACATCTAATGACATTGTGTGCCTGCTGGGCAATAACTAAACACACTTTACGTTTCCACACATCCACAAATGATATGCAAATGCATCAAGTTTTCACAGCGAAATACTCACTACTCTCGAGTACTTTTGAAAGGGCTACTTTTTACTCATACCTTGAGTAATAATCACAACAGATACTTTTACTCTACTTGCACTACATTTTTAGGCAAGTAATGGTACTTTAGTATGATTTCAGTACTCTTTCCACCACTGTGTACAACATGCTAATCACATTTAGGTTTTACATTTTAAACAGAATATTTTAATAAATTAGTTTCTAAAACAATACAATACAACATTTCCTTTATATTTCAAGGTTTTTATTTTCCAACTGTTTTTTTTCATATTTTGCTCATTTTAAATTTAGCATTTGGTAACGTGTAAGTGACAATTAAAACACATTTCCTGCTTGAGCAGCGATAAAGAAAACCGTACCTGCAGTAATACAGGATTATCACTGGATTTCCTGAGTGAAAAACACTGACAATAGCACCAAAAGCATTGTTTATTTATAGAAGCACATTTTTAAAACTACATATAAAACAAACACACAATCAAAACATAAAAACGGTATTTTAGAAATAAAAAGTTCTACTTTCCTTTTTCTACCCATGCAAAAAAATTACACCTGGCCTGAGGATTGGAGGCGTGACCCTGAGGACGAGCACATACAAAAAACTGCCGGCCTAAATTAGGTCCTGCTTTTTTCACCGTCCGTAAGACACAAGGCTCGTTGTGTGATTTACAAAGTGGTGGCTGAGGTGGCCCATGCAAAACCGATTTCCAAAAACCAGTGCATGGCCCTTTCTTACAGTCATTTGGCTTGTCCATGGATGTAGATTCTCCTTCCACTTCATCTTGATTTTCAGTCTCCATCTCCAGGAGCTTAGAGACATTCATATCATTCTGCAAATCACTGGGGCATATTTTTGAGTTGCTACCAGTACCCGGGCCATCCTGACAGGATTCTGCTTGTTTCTCTTTTGTAGGTATCAGCTGTGTTTGCTTAGGCTTGAAGAAAGCTAAAAGACTTCCTTTAGCATTACTTTCGGTTTTTGTTGTCTTGCTTTTTTTGGATTTGTGTGCATTTGTGTCTTCTCTGTCTGTAGGTCTCTTCTTTCCTACATTTTGCTTCTGTACAACAGGATTCAGGTTTTCCCGGATTTCCCCAGCATCCTGTGATCCAGGCAGACTTTTTTCAGAGCCGTTAGAAATGTTCTGTTTCTCTGGAATTTTGACTAGGAAGCGTGAAAGTTTCTGCTGTCTGCCGATGAACTCTGGCATGTGACGTGTGCACACTGGTGGACATCTTGGGCTAGACTGAAGGGTACAGCTGAGCTGCGCCCAAACAGGACAGTGATCAGATCCCTCCACCTCTGGCATTATGTCCACACCAATAAAGAACGTCTTCACCAGAGAGTGGTTGGAGAAGATGTAGTCGATGCGTGTGCCATAGTTGGTCTGCCTTGCGCCCGTGAGTGTGGACCAACATGTGAAGGCATTCGAGCGCTTTGGGTGGAAATAGCGAAAAGAGTCAATGAACTTGCCGCCAGAGGCTGATTCCTGGAAATCCTCAGCAGGTTCATCTGCAGCATTTCCATTTTCAGAGTTCTCTGCAGTTTGGAACAAGAATTGATCCAGCCACTTTCTCCCAGGGTTATCTTCAAAGTTATCCTAAAAGCCAGAACAGCAATAAAAATTCATGCCTTTTCTGAACCAGTTGCAAAAAGAAAATAATTTGATAATTGTGGACTTGTTGATATCGGGAAAGGTCCATGAATCGGGACTCAAACTCAGGACACCCACATAATGCACTGTAATATTTACCAAATATTCTGACCTTGACTGTTTCATGACTAGGATTTCATCTATCAAAATGAAGCACAGTGGTGTGTGTGTGTGTTTGGCCAAGTTAATATAGTCTCATTAACACAGTTGTGCACAAATACAAACAGTCAGGATTTTTTAGCTTTCATGTACCCTCAGAACACTGGCAGGTCTATCATTGGACCTACATTTTAGCATCTCTTTATTCTCTGCCATTGTAAGTGGGAATTTTAAAAATAATTTAAACACTGAACAGCAGATTTCCTAGAGACTGTCACATCACTTCATTGTGGATTTTGTGCATTGTACATTTTTCTAATCACTTGTCAAACCTGATAACTAACAATAACTAAAGCATGGTTTGAGGACTTACCACATCATCTGGGTCACAGTGGTCTATGGGTCTGTGAGAGGTGTTCACGTCACCCAGGATGATCACATGACTGAAGAGAGGCAGCAGGATGCATTATTCAAACAAAAAGACATGTGAAACTCTTTAGGAAGAAAGACCGGAATCATAATAGCATAAAAAAACATCTATTTTTTATCACTTTCTGAACAATATATGCACTTTTGAGTGTGTGAACAGGAGATGTTTGATCTCTCTCTCACCTCCCTGAGCTCAAGATGGCTTCAGCTCTGCACTGGAGGAGTCTGTAAAACTGAAGCTTGAACTCTTTTCTCTCAGGTTTGTCAGGGTCAGCTCGGGGACAGTAAACATTAATAACGGTCAGCTTCTGAGGTCCATCTTGACCACTGAGAATAAAAAAAATATTGTCAGAAAACATTGACAATACATTTTAGCCTAGATTAAACCAGGGGTCTCCAACATGATGCTGATGATTTACCCCAAAAACATGGCAGAAAAAAGAAAGAAAACATAATTGTCACAGTGAATAGGAGGAAAAGTCATTTTTTTACTTCATTTGCGGGGTGACTGTGGCGATGGCAAAGCAGCACAATGTCGTGATGGCAAAGCAGCACAATTGTACAAACATTGTACAATGTAGTGCATGTTTTGTTAAAAAATTGTTAGTGACTAGTAAAAATATTGTAGAACTGATCATTTTGAAAATGTAAATACTTGCAGAGAGTTATAGAAATAAAGTGTTACATACTGATATTTATGTTTCCTACCTTGTTAAACCATTGTTGACAACTATTGTGAGAAATCAATAACATGGTCAGTGTCTTCTTATAGATGAATATCATTATTTATTTATAATAACATATAATTAAAAGTAAGCTGAGCATACTTGTTATCTGAGAAGTGTGCATCAAACTGGTAGCCCTTTAAATTAATCGCTAACCAAAACGTAGCTCTCAGTTAAAAAAGGTTGGTGACCCCTGGATTAAACTATGCCTTTAATACAAAAAAGAAGACAAAAATCTCTCATCGTTCACAAACCCTTTACTTGTTCCAAGCCTTCAGCATTTTGCACCTGTATTATTGACTTCCATAATTGTTTTTCCTATCATGGAAGTCAATGATTACAGGTTTCAGACACTTTTCAAAACCTCTTCTTTTTGTGAAAAGTAGAAAAAAAAAGAATCCAATAAATGTTTGATACAAGTAAAAGGAGACAATAGCCCCTTTCACACATACAGACCTTTCCAGAAAATTGCCGGCAATTTTCCGGAAAGGTTGTATGTGTGAACAGGTCTTTTTTGAAAATACCGGTAAATTCGTTCCGGAAATTTTCCAGATATTTAACGGTATCACTGTGTGAAAGGGGCTAATGATGACAAAATTTTAACTTTGGACTAAACTATCCCTTTAATCTTCTTTGGAGATTGAGTTTATCCACTCTTGTTAGCTTATAAAATGGCTGCGATTTTGGCAGATTGGCTTCAATACAAAAAACCTGAGCAACAAAAGTTGTTTTTAGACTCAACAAAAAACGTATCATAAAACAATGGAAATATGATTTTAATTTGTCAAAATACACCTTTAATATGTCAAAAAGTTAAGCAAATTTTGATTTCATTACACCTTTGAAACTTGTAAACTCACATGAAGTGATGCTGGGTAATGACAGCCCTTCCTTCATTGTCCAAAGCCAGAAGCTCCTCGCTGGTCAGCTCTACCTGGTCACCATAGCAACCAATAACCTCTCCCTGATTGGATAGTAGACCTGTCAATCCTTCCTCGGCCAGAAATGGAGTAGCGGTATCTTTACAGTAGGTCGCAACACCTGGTTATGGGCAACATGAGGTTGTTCATTCTCATAGTTCATGAATAGTTGACATTTGCAATAGGTAGTAAAAAGTAGACATTTACTGTATATACAACATGTAAGCATTAATATAAAGCTTATATTAATCAAACTTGTCATACAAATTATTTTGCACACTTTAAAATCAGACACCATTATTTTAATCGTTACCTGAGTATCCACTTCGTCCTCGGCTAAAACTAAAGTATGAATTGTAGCCATCGACAATCGCTGTTTTCTCATCCAGCAGGTCGCCTGAAAGAAATGTTTGCAGTAACGTTAGCTGTGCGGTTATAAAGACCTTACAAATAGTGCTCATGTGGGGGTGCATCTACTCTTTCAAAGTCCCGCGCTACTGTAAAACACTTACGGGTAACTTTGGTTTCTTGGACGCAAATAATATCCGCATCAAATGAATCCAGGATTTTCTTAATACCGTTTTTAAACGTTCGTATCCCGTTTATGTTCCATGTTACGATCTTCATGTTTATCTGTCAAACAACGTCGTCTGGCGGGCAGCTCAAGCAGAATGAACGTGTGAAGTATATGGACCTTATTTCTGTGCAGCTCTCTTGACTTTCAAAATAAAAGTCTACACACCTGCGTTTGTTTGTTATGACTATTATATTATCCTGACTATTATCTTTTATTCATTCATTTTAATAATAAAAAAAAAATATATATATATATATATATATATCGAATTATATAAAACGAATTAAAATGACAATAAAAATGAACACAAAAATTAAAAAAATCTAAAAATAAGACCAGAGCAAATGTTAATAAATACAGCAGGCCATACATTATTTGATGCTAATATATATATATATATATATATATATATATATATATATATATATATATATATATATATATATATATATATATATATATATATATTTTTTTTTTTTTTTTTTTTGTATATTCAGTTATGAAAAAAATGACAGGTTACAAGTCCATAGATTAAACTAAAATGTAAACTAACCTTCTGTGTATTATAATTCATAAATGATTAAATTATTAATTTGTGAATATTTTTAAATAATTATTCATCATTAATTTATTTTCTTGTCGGCTTAGTCCCTTTATTAATCCGGGGTCGCCACAGCGAAATGAACCTCCAACTTATGCTGCACGTTTTTACGCAGCGGATGCCCTTCCAGCCACAACCCATCTCTGGGAAATACACACACTCTCATACACCATGGTCAATTTAGCCTACCCAATTCACCTGTACCTGTACCACATGTCTTTAGACTGTGGGGGAAACCGCCGGAGCACCCGGAAGAAACCCAGACGAACGCAGGGAGAACATGCAAACTTCTTATAGAAACGCCATTTGAGCCAAGGTTCGAACCAGCCCCCTTTTTGCTGTGAGGCGACTGCACTACCTACTGCGTCACTACGCCGTCATAATTATTCAGGAGTAACAATTACATTTTAATAAGATTTGAAACTTTTAAAATTATTTAAAATTAGATATTTAAAATGTATTTTTAACACATTAAGCATTACTTGAATATCTACATATATAAGTAAATGTAAACATATTTGGAGATGCCACAAACCATTATTCAACAGTCATATATTGTAAAGATTATGTATATAAATCTTATATTATAAAATAAAATGTTTTTTTTTGTGTTTTATGAGTCCAAAAAAGTACTAAATAGCAGCTCACAGCATTCGTTGTTGTTTTATTAATATCTGATGTCTAACTAAAACTTCAAGTTCTTTTTTAATCTGACTTTACATTAAATGTTATTGTATTTACTAAAATGAACTAATAATGAACTTGTACAGCATTTATGAAGTTCAACAATTACTAATGTATTATTAACTCACGTTTATTTATTATTATTATTATACTCATGCATATTCATTCACGTTTGTGAACATTAATTACTCCACTGTGAGTCAACATGAACTAACTGTATTTAAATTCAATAATGTTGACTGACATGAACAAATACTGTAGAAAATGTATTGTTCATTGTTTGTTCATGTTAATAAATGCATTAACTAACAATAACTAATACAATCTTAATGTAAGGTTTTACTGTTTTTTTAAGATATGGAAGAGAATATTTCAGTAAGTGGAGCCCTGTGTTGGCCCCAGAATGAAACAAATGTAAACATGGTTAATCAGATTCAGTGTGATTAGCATCCAAAAAAAAAAAAAAATTATCTTGGGAAATGATGCACTGCACTGCAGACAAACCCACATGCCAACATCTACAGTCACAGTCAGTGTTATCAATGTTGATCTGAGTGTTTATTGAAGGGAAGGGGTTGTACGTGTTCAGCTAAGTCAAGGATGACAGCAAGACTTTTCCATGTAAACCAGAACAACACACACAAAACTGCCCTTAATCAGCGTGCAAGGATTTTACAAGGAGTTCGCTTAAGGAATCTTCTGATTGCAGGACAGGTAAACCTCACACCAACAAACTTGGCCATATGTACATATTTTTAAAAAAGTATATATTAATTAGCACAGCAAACATATTTTTATTTATTCAATTAATTTTAAATCTGCTGTATTCATTTTAAGATTCAATAAACAGTTTTTTTTCTTCATAAATCAGCATTTTTAATAAAAAAAGATCATTTTCTCTCAGTGTCATTTTATTGGATTGATTTTTTTTCTTTTAAACGGCCAATTCTAGGGTTACAGAGATGTTTAAACAATAAACAGACTATTATTTCTCTCTTTAAGAATGGAGGTGAAGGTCTACGTCGAAGGAGTCCAGCGCATTGTTTGTGGAGTCACTAAAAAAACAACATGTCAGGAGGTGGTCATCGCTTTAGCACAGGCACTTGGTATGTAAATATCTTTTACCAACCCTAACCCTAACTTTTTAGAGCTCTAAAACAACCATTACAGCTTGAAACAAGTGGTGAACATACTAGTCTGCAAGCATTTGCTGGAAATATGGGATGTGTGGGCTTAAAGGATAGTTCACCCAAAGCTGAAAATTCTGTCATTATTCTGTCCCAAACTGAGATGACTTAATTTCTTCTAAAGAGCATGTATAAATAATGAAGTTGAGAGCCTGTTGTTGTGAAACCCATGAATTCATATTATACTAACAAAATATTGTAGCATTCATTAAAAAAAAAAAAAAAAAAAAAAAAAAAAAATATATATATATATATATATATATATATATATATATATATATATATATATATATATATATACATACTTGTAATGTTTTCGAAAAAGTCATACAGTTTTGGAATGCAAAATCCGATGTTCTGGTGAAAATGATGTCTTGACTGACTATACTTGCAGTATCTGAAGAATCAGTTGAAAAATCTTTGACTCCATGATTGCTTTATTGAAATCAAAAATAAATTGAAATAAATTGTTCTGCATTCTCTTTATACAGTATATGCACGTTCTGTTATTGCATCCTTAAAGGGATAGTTTACCCCAAAATGAAAAGCTCACCTCAGCCCATTGCTCACCTCAGCCCAGGTGACCTTTTACTTCAAAAGTATATTAACATTTTTTTTTAGCCTTAAGTATTGCATGTCAATGGCTACCATCATTTTAACAGTCAAAACCAATTACAGGCAATTTAAATTAATTCACAATACACTAAAGTATTATAAAGCAAAACTATTGGTCTGTGCAAGAAAGCTATTCATTTACAACTTTATTACTATTATCATGCGCTGCAAGACATCTGACAGGCACTCGTAGGTATGAGCACATACCCCCTGTCTGGGCTGGCTGCCTGTTAGGTCACGGATTGATTTTAAACTATTAATTTTTGTTTTTAAATCCTTAAATGATCTAGCACCACCTTATCATACCTCATACATGTACAGTTAAAACCAGAAGTTTACATACACTGTATAAAAAGGCACAAAACCATTTAAAAAAAGTCAGATTTTAATGTGACTAAACTTTTTCTCTTTTAGGTAAGTCTGGGTTATCAAATTTGTTTCTGTTAGGCTAATAGCAGAATAATGAGACATTTTTGAGAAATTGTTATAAGTTTTCTTAAAAGTCAAGTTTACATACAATAAGATTATTATGCCTCTGAAAAGCTCAGATGATGGTGTCAAGGTTTTGGAAGTTTCTGATTGGCTAATTGACAACATTTGTGTTAACTGGAGGCACAACTGTAGAATAGTATTTAAGGAAAACCTCAAACACACTGCTTCCTTGTGTGCCAACATAGGAAAATCAACAAGCCAGAATCAACAACAACAGCAACAAAAAGCCAGATTATAATTTGCTGAATTACACTGGGAAAAAGACCAATTTTTGGAGACATGTCCTGTGGTCTAATGGAACTAAGATTGAATTGTTTGGCCATAATGACCAGTGTTACATTTGGAGGAGAAAGGGGAAAGCTCACAAGCCTAGGAACACCATCCCAACTGTGAAGTATGGGGGCAGCAGCATCATGTTGTGGGGCTGTTTTGCATAGCATATATGGCATCATAAAGCAACATCTCAAGAAGACATCAGCCAGGAAATTAAAACTTGGCCACAAATGGGTCTTCCAAACAGACCATGACCCTAAACATACTGCCAAATTAGTTAAAATGTGCTTTAAGGACAACAAAGTGAATGTTTTGGATTGGCCATCAAAAAGCCCTGATCACAATCCTATAGAAAATTTATGGGAAGAGTTGAAAAAGTTTGTGCGAGCAAGACAGCCAACAAATCTGACTCAGTTACACCAGTTCTGTCAGGAGGAATGGGCCAAAAGTCCTTCAAACTATTGTGAGTAGCTTGTGGAAGGATACCCAAAACATTTGACCACAGTTATAAAGCAAAGCTAAAAAACACAAAGGAAATGTATGTAAACTTTTGACCGTTTAAAAATTAAAAAATTAAAAAAAAAATTTAAAAAAAAAAGAATTCTCAAAACAATTCTTTCATTATTCTGGCATTAAGCAAATGTAAATAAATTAGGTAATCTTAAAAAAAGTAAACGTTTAGTATGATTTACCATCAGATACTTAAAAAAATGGTTATGTTCTATTTTAAGAGTGTATGTAAACTTCTGGTTTCAACTGTATATAATCCTGGTAGGTCATTATGGTCTTCTGATCAATTTATTCTTTCGGTACCAAAGTCCTGGTGTAAGCGAAGTGGGGATCAGGCTTTTGCCGTGATCGCCCCAAAACTCTGGAACTAATCATTACAGTCGGGAGCTCAAAGCTGTAGTCCCACTGAAGTTTGAGCTTTTGAAATTCAATAGTATAACACTGCTAAAGGGATGGGATAAAACAAGATGATGCAGCCCTGCTAAAATAAGGGACTTAATTTTGAAATGTAACACCATGCAAAATTTTTGGCACAAGTTTATATTTTTGATCTGGTGGATAAAAATGGGGCAAAAAGTGTAGTCTGCAGCTTAAAGACCATGTGAAGTTGCTGAGACTTTTATATCAGCTTGTTGATGTACTTACAACAGAAAAGGAATATTGAGGGGGCGGGGCTTTGTTTTTGTGCATGATTTCCTCACGGAAAACTAATGGTGAGAAGAGCATGGTAAAGAATATTGTGGCCAAAACTGTTGAACTGACGTCAACAAGGACTACAACTCCAAACCTGAAAGTGGTCAGACTCTGACTGAATATTACCAATCAAACGTTTTTTCCCCCAGTGCACTATTATGCATGGATTAATAGTTCACCAAAAAGAATAATATTGGTAAAATAATCATTTATATTTTGATTTTACACAGACATTATGTGCATAAGCAAATATACAGTTCCTTTGGTTTCAACTCAAAGTGTAAGTGGCTACTGACTCGCATTTAATGAACAAATTTGCATATTAGCATAAGAATTGTATTAATGTTTTTAATTTGGACTCTTCATTTAATAATTAACTAGTGTTCCTCATTTGGATAAAAAAAAAATTAAATTAATTTTCTCCCAAGAAATCCTTTCTAATGTGGTTTTCACTCCTAGGTCGCACTGGTCGATATACCCTACGAGAAAAATTCAAAGATTATGAGCGTAACATGTCTCCGGATGAATGTCTACTGGAGTCCCTGGAGAAATATGGAGAGCAAGGGAAGGAGGTGCAGCTCACTTTGAAGCATATCGGTCCATCGCAAGGGGAAGAAACCAACCAGCCCAAAGCCCAAATGAGGCGAGTGGAGGGTCCAGGGAGGGTGAGGAGAGGCAGCGGTGCAATCGCAACCCTACACCGCCAGAGCCTCCCACCACTGTCCCGTCTCTGCCTCCACCCTGAGCCACCCACAGAGGAACCAAAGAGACCCAAGCGGAAGTCGCTGACTTTAATGGAGGAAGCGTGGGGTTGGCTTGAAAACCTGGGTAGAGGCGGGAAACAGCAATCAGGACGAGATAAAGGAAAAGACAAGGAGGGCAATAAAGGAAATGGGCATTCAGATAACACATCTCTAAAACCAACCAAAAGCTCCCTAGCCTGTGGGACACCACAGACCAGGGACAAAAAGGACAAATATAGAGTCGCGCCACATCAGCCTTTGATCAGTTGTCTTGGGAATCGAGGGAGATGTTGTGATGAGAGAACTGTACAGAAAGGTGCCGAGGAAGATCTGAAAACCACCAATGAAGTAGTTCCTCTGGTCAAAAAAAGCCTCGAAACTGAAAGTGAGGAAACTGTAGAGTTAAGGAGACTGGTCATCCAACAACACACCAGTCTCCAAGAACTAAAGCGAAAAATAGAGTCAACAGAGCAGTTGATTTTTGAGCTTGAGAACCAGCAAGCTGCCAAGGACATCTCAGAGACACCATCAGATGAAGAAGAACAGCTCAAGTTCTGGATCAATGAGCTCAAGGCAGAAGAAGTCTTTGAGAAAGACCTCCAGAATCAGTTCTTTGAGATTAAAGTAGCAGCTGCTGAATGCAAAGCTACACTGGAGGATTACAAACAGAAACTGCAGACGATGGACCTGAGAAGCCTTCAGAAGCAAACAGGCCTTGACAAAACACCTGGAGAGATCAGCCAAGGAGATGCTCCAAAATCAGTCCAAACAATCGTCAAACAAACAGAGACCTCAGCAGACAGGTCACATGAAAGTGATGGAACAAAAAGGGTCGTCACAACCATGGAGTCTAAACTTCCGTATGTGTTTGTTTCAGCAAACCATCTATCATATCCTTCTCAATGCGGACCAGCAGACCTGAGGGAATGGTGGACACGGTGGTCTCAGAGCCAGAGTCAAACATCAGTGGTCAAACCCAAAACAGTGCATCGCTCTGAAATCACCATACAGCTGGGAAGCACCAGGGTTTAAAACATCCCAGTTGCGATCAGAGACATTTGACCTTTTATATTACAAATGCATGTCCAAAGGCGTCCAATTCTTCTGTACAGTAATTTGCTAATAATAAAAAAATTCATATTTGATTTTCATAAAATGTTTATTTCAATTGTTTCATTCAAGACCATTAACAAAAGTATATAGGAGAACCTTGAGGTTCAACACAAACCCAGGGTGCTCCAGAGAATGTTTATGACAGTAATAGCTCCATTTGTCATAAGAAGCACTGCAAATAGCCTCTATCCATAATCAAGTTTCTCTGCATGTTTGAGTTTTTTGGATTACACATCCCCCAAGTGCTGCACACATTTGCCCATTTTATTTAGGTTTTCAAAAAAATCCACCCAAGTAAAAGCACACATTACATAGAGTACATTTCAACCCATAGGGATCGGGGGATGCACGCCAGTATTTTCTACTTGGAGAAAAGAAAAAAAAAAAAAGGCCACCCTACTTGCTCATATTTTAGTGGCAATTTAGGGATAGAGACGACACCAATTTTTATTTTATTTTTTGTTTTTAGGCACCTTCTTCCTTTATTCATTAGCAGACACTGAGTTAAAGTAAAACTCAAAGAAAAAGGAAAAAAAAAAAGCCTATATAAAAAGACCGCAGGCTACAAGATGCCAATAGGAATTCTGCACTTGCCCAAAAAAGGAACTTGTAAAATCAAGACAGCAATACAAAAAAAGCCAATTTAATTAGAAAATAATTAAAAGGCAATCAAAAACCATACATGAGAGAATAACGAATGCAGCAAGACAATTTATTTAGTTTTTAGATCCATGTTAAAAAGCTATTTAACTGTATTGGGTATGGAAAACGAGCGCACATTAAAAGTCATTTTATTTCTCACCAGAAAAAGCCCAGCAAAATCACCAGGGTGAGAAACCCGACATTGGGAGAGGAATTCAAGTGATACAGGAAAAATAAAGTATATATATAACGGAAGTCAAAATACAGACAGTCAGAGCTACTTTAAAACAAGACCTCACTCACACTGCAGCAGGTGCAGAATTCCTGGCATTTTGATTTCAGCAGAAAAGAAAAACGGGTCGAGTCTTCACATCTCCATCCAAAAAGATGAGAAAACTTCAAACCCCTTACTTCCCCTCATATCCTCTGCATGACAAGAACAACCTTACAGTTTTCTCCAAACGGGATGCATACCACACACACACACACACACACGCTCATACAACACAAGGGCTTTTTGCTCAAATTACAACCAAACAACACACATACAATGAAGACCATGAGATGATTTTTTGTTGTTTTTTTGCACGGGATCCTTTGACAAAGGAAGGGACTTGTGGGTGCTAATTTTCAAGTCTTGATGCCTTTGTTACTCTGTGATGTGTTAATGGGTGAGAGAGAAAATGCAAGCGAGACGAACACGCATAAATCCCTTCCTCTGACCATCTGATTGCTTTTCTTCAAGGTGTTCCTTCTATTGTAAGGACAAGAGGGGTGAACAGTACTCAGTCAATAACACCAGGCTGGCGGGATTTTCTCTCTACACTAAAGCCCTGTATGGGGAAAACAAAACAACAGCAGGTCAACACAAAAACATCCAAAAAGCAATAGACCAAAGTTTTAGCTGAATTTTATATTGAAGCATTTTGCAGCTGCGAGCATAGTTTAATTTAACCCATATATTAGTTTTTCAAAAATACTTAAAATAATATTTTAACGAATTATTTTTTTAATTTAATGCATGATATCAGTGTTAAAGCTGTCAGATTACAGATGATATTATTTATGCATTCACACATTTGCTCTAAAGAAATATTTGAATTGGCTCAACCACAGTCGCTGTGAAATCAAAGCTAGAATCTTGCCATTGATAGCTCAACTTAAGCCTCGCATTAAAAAAAAAAAAAAATTTAATTTAAAGTTAATCAAAAAATAAAAGAGACAGATTTCACACAGCTGCTATTTTAAAAGCAAAATCGAGGCTGCAGTGAGAAGAAAGAAAGTGTCGCCCGAGTAACAGCAACGTTGTGTACCTGGCTGTATATCTTATCAACAAAGAGAAAGTGACAAATTTATCACTTCACCACCTTCAAAGTGACCCGAAGGTCTGTTCTGAATGGATAGTGAAAATAAAAAGGGTGTCAGACCTCATTTTCAGCTAAGTTAAGGGAAATGACACTAGTTCGTTTTCTTTACCAAACACACGTTTTAGATGCCATTTGTTAAACTCCAGATAATGAACTGATTCTTTCAGTATAGGACTTGTCATGATACTGAATTTTGGTACTGAAATGTGTTTAAAAAAAACATCAATCTCCAGCTAACATTTATTTGCTGTTGAGTGCATTCTTAAACAGCACCAATTTGCCATAGTATTCACCAGTGCTCAACAGAAAAGACTGATTGGTCGTGAAGGTCATCAGTTCACTGCACCTAACGGATGTTTACCATGCAAACACAGACGAGTGATCCGCTGATGCCTCAACTGATCTTCGTGACTTTAAATCTCTCCGATGTCGCTGTATTTGTTTCTACTTGGGTGAAGAGCGGTGAACTGATGACCTTCTCGGCCAATCACAGTCATTTCTGTTGGCTGCTGGTAAATACTATGGCAAATCAGCTGTGTTTAAGAAAGAGCTCAGCCGCACTTAAATGTTTCAGTACCGGGACAACACTATGACAGACAACACGAAGGTGTGCTACCCGCTCACTGGGTTACATAGGCTGACGCAGGGAAGCATCCCTACAGTGTTTAGCTGGTGCCATAAACTGAAACCTAGGAGGACACTTAATTGATTACTCTTAAAGAGATTGTGATTTTGTTTGATGCCTAATATGCTTTTAATTGTTTATTTTAAACTTAACTGAATGTTATTGAAGTGATGCTTCCACCATATCTGCACTTTAAAAATCACGACAACAGCTGAAGGTTTGTAGTCCACAGCATGTTGTTGCAATGTTTACAATACTGGTCCTATGCTTCTGGGTTTCTTCCCACTGCAGCCTCACTTTCACTTTTTAAAATAGCGGCCGCGTGAAATAAGCGTATTGTACAATTACTTAGACATTCCCAAAAAATGTGGTTTCACTTTACCTTTGAATTATCAGGGCCACGAGGCTGTCTAATGATGACGAGACGAGGAGCGTTGGAGTCATCCAGAGTGATGCTCTTCAAGCGATTGACAAGTCTGTCAGGCCGAGGTGTTGCTACTGGTTTTGGACCCTCACTGAAAAAATAAAACATTAGGTTAGATTTAATCATAATAACACCTTTTTCAGCTCAGTGTCTGCGAGACGACCACTCAAAGTCTTACCTGACTCTGCGAACATTACAGGCACTACATTTGCCCGTACGCTGGTTCAAGATAACCGAAAACTCCACTTCATCACCAGCCTGCAGCTCCAGACTGTCCTGCACCTCCTTGACGTGGAAAAACAACTTCTTGCTTTCTCCAACTTCATACGTGATGAAACCAAACTGGAGACGGAAATCAGATAAGGCTCAGAGATCTTTGACATCAGAAGGATTGTGAGAATAAAAAGTCTCTTTGAAGTAGCTCACCTGATCTTTAACACACTCCACCAGGGCTCTGCGCTGAGGCATGATGTTGCAGGCCATCTTTTGTCCTGTCTGTGCCACCGTACACAACTGAAACTTCACCAACTCGCCCTTTTGTAAACAGTCACCTTTATTGGCCATACCAACAATGCCGAAAGGATAACTCTGTCCCTTATTGGACCCTGGGAAAGCAATTTAGCAGAGAACAGTGTTGAATTACAAAATAAATTATGAAATTAATTGATTATAGATTTTAAAAGAACACACTTACACATATATACAAAATAAACAGCACACTCCAAAACTGTTATTTTCCAAATCACTCACCATCCTCCGTGATCTCAATAAGGCCTTGATATTCAGTCTGAGACGGGTCCACACTGCGCAGCGGCCGAACCACCTTTCCCAGGGACACTGTAGTGCTCACATCCTCTCCAACTCCATTCACTGACAAACACAGGGCTGTTACACTCACATGAAGCAAATAAATATTCAAATCTAATAAACAGCCTTAACATACCAGCGGCAATTTTGGTGACCTTCTCTGCACTGATTTTGTTTCCTTTGCCCTTGGAGAGAGTGTACTCCACCGTATCTCCAAGATCAAAGCTATCCACATCCCCACAAACCTCACTGGACACAGTTTAGAATACATCATTACTAAATCACAAAAACACCACCACACAAGTCAAAATCAAGCAGGAGAGTTTCACACCTGTAGTGGAAGAAGATCTCCTGATCGTGATTGGCTGTTTCTATGAAGCCAAAGTTATCCTTTAGAGTTGCTATGTATCCCAGCAGCCTCTTGGAGCCAACTGCGCGGTTAAGAATCTTGAAGGACACAGCACTTTGCTGTCCAGTGCGTTTTACTTCACTGATGGAGAACTCCACCTGGTGGAGACATGAGGTTTAACAGGGTGTCTACAGAGTTTAATCAGTTAAACACTTGCAAGCCAGTATAACTTGTGCTTCAACCTGTTAAGTATAAGGAAATATGTAAAATATTAGGGCTTTTTAAGGACCTGCGTCCTCCCAGATGAAAAAAATTTTTTTAGACACATTTGAAAATGCATCCTATTGTCCCAACATTGAGTCTAAAGTACCTTGTCTCCAAGCTGTGGATAAACACCACCTTCAAGGTCTTTAATATGGTAGGGAAGGGTGGTCTTTACTCCAACATCTTCATATGCAATCAAGCCTTCCTCAGCATCCTGGAGAAAACACAAACATTGAGAAAATTATCAACATCACATTCATAGCTGAAGTGCACCCAGTATTTGTGTGCGCATGTGTTTGTATGCGGCATTAAAAGCAAAACACTATAACTGAGTGCACCTTTAAGTATATAAACAAGCTCTAGGTGTGAACTATTCCTTAATTAGTGTCAATGCTAAACACTAGTTTCCACACATCAGACTCCAGATACTTGAGGGTCATGTAAACAAGGCTGCCCCCTCTGAATATCAGCAGCCATAAATCTAGCCAGTCCCAGTTTAGCCTTGCATATGAATTAGCCAAAACGACGCACAAGAAGCACAGGAAATAGGTGAGTTCACACAATGAGTGAAAAAATAAACTCAAGGCGTTTAATGCTTGACAGGATTTAGTCATCATGCACACAGTAATACAAGGGGTAAAAATGCTCCGTAAAGTCTGCAATCCACAGTTCTGTATGGATTATTTTACCCCAGTTGAAAATGCAAAGTCCATTTTCAATAGTAACAGCATGTGTAACAGTGGTTGAGTTTCCACCACTCAAAAAGAATTGCACACACACTGAGTGGCACAGTGTATGGTTATGAGGTTAACTTGTCTGTATGACTTAAAGCTGTAAAATCAGTTTTAGCTCATGCCAGCTGGCCTCATAACCAAACAAACAGAAATAAACAGACAGATCAAACTGACCTTTTCAACTTTACCCTTAAAGAAGAGAAATACAGAGAATTAGACATCTCTGATTTATGTGGACCAATCAGAATGCATCTGAATTCCAGGTTCAATTACAGTAAGCCAAATCGCTCCAATTTGCCTCTTAACAGGTTAAAAGGTCATGTTCTCAAACGAGCATGACTGAACTATGTACTGTGGAAGAAAGGCAGCATGCAGAAAACAGCAGCCTACCTTGTCTTTTTTCTAATGAAGACGAGCATGGTTAAAAAAAAAAAAAAGGAAAAATAAAAAACAAAATGTCAGACATGAGGCAGTTGCATTCTATAGCACCTCAAAGCCAGCCATAGCATTTTGTGCGGGTCATTTAAGAAACATTTGTAGCAAAGTTTAAATAGTAATTGTATAAAATTCTCAAAATTCTGAATTCCTCCATGTCCAAATCTACAAAGATTGTAACATTTTAAGAACCCTGTGATGTAAATATATATTTAAAGAATCAAGTTAAAATGGAGTTAATTTGAGCACCAGTAAAATCAGCAGCATATATACCACCAGTCAAAAGTTCGGGCCATCAGCAATTGTTTCCATTCAACAAAAGCTAAATTTTGCACAAAATCATAACCAAAACAGCCGTTTAAAGCATAAGAAATAAACACCAAAACAGCAGATCAAGGCCCAATCCCAATTCTATTTTTAACCCCTACTCCATTCCCTTCAAACAGATTGTTAAGAGCTTTGAATAGCCACATAGCCATATTAATTTATGTAAACACACGAAAACATCAATAACATTAGCATTATACTAGACACTGTAAAAAGCTCATTTCCAGCCACTAGATTTTTCTGAAAGGGTATTCCAGCATCCTCAAGTGTCAGATGGGAAAGTATTAGGGGTGTAACGATACACTCAGCTCACGATACGATGTGTATCACGATATAATGTTCACGATTCAATATGTATCACGATATTTGGAATAAAAATTGAAAATTAAACTGAAATGCTAATTTTACCAAGTAAACAATTTTTTATGTATTTCTTTTGTTTCAACTTGTTAAACTGAACCTTCTTTAGGAAAATAAATTAAACAGGCCTGTCTCTGAAAAAAAACAATTAAAAAACTTCTTTAAAATATTATTGAAATGACAGACAAAATTAAGGAAAAATTTAAGTAAAGGTGCAAAAAAAATAAGCTTTCCATTCAATTGAATTTAACAGTAAGAGCTTAAGGCTTTGCTTGGTCACTTGCGTTTTTTGTGTGTGCAAAAAAAAAAAAATCCACATTTCCAGGTATTTAATTTATATTTAATTAAATTCATTTAGAGATATCTCTAATTACAATTGTGACGAGTCAAAACTCATTTAGAGATATCTGCAAATATTTTTCAATGGAAGTCAATGGAGGAATATGACTAGTCATAATATATTTGCAGATATCTCCAATCTGATTTCGTACAAGTACAATTGTAATTGCAGATATCTCTAATTGTCATTCTGACTAGTCGAATTATAATTATGACTAGTCAAAATATAATTAGAGATATCTCTAAATATATTTATGGATAGTCAGAACAAAGGTTTAAATGCTAAAACGGCTTGCCATACGCACGCGTCTATCAAAGTCCGCCCTCTGTAGTAACAGCTCACGGTCAGCTCACGTCATGTGTGATTTTGCGGCGGGAACATTATATGAAGGCAGAATGATATTTTAGGGTGAATTGTACCTTATAAATACAGTATGTGACTCTTTCAACACCATTAGGAGGTATCCCTGTCGCTGTGCAAAGTATGTAAATCACTGTGAAGACTTTAAAACTTAGGATGTTTGACCCAGTATGCGTGTCAAAAAGCAGACGAGTTTAAAGCAATGACTGTACAAACGAAATTTTGCAAGACGTCTGATTTTGAGAGGATGGGCCATCCTCTATTTTAGCTCCACTCATCTTGGTCTGCTAACATTACTGCTGCTGCAATCTGAACTCACGTGCGACAGCAGGTGGAACGTAGCTCACGTGCAAACAGCTCAACTAATAAGAGAAAACGGACATCGTATCGTAATGAAATAGTCATAACTCCACGATGCATATTGTGACATTTTTGCATCGCAATAAATCGTACAACGATAAATCGTTACACCCCTAGAAAGTATGTTGTGGGACTGCTATTCAGGAGTTATTATTATAGATTATAGATACAAAAAATTTAGGTTTTCATTTATTTTATTTTCATGACGGTAAAACACGAACACCGTCATGAATGTGTTAAAACATATGCTTGTTTTTTGTAAAAATTCGCAATAATAATTAAAAAAAAAATTGTGTTGTCGTTGTAGATTGTGTATTCTAGGAAATTTTTGTACCCCTTGATATCTAGTATGGTCCTGAAAAGTCTCAGTTTCAAGGGCAATCTAGTCCTCCCCCTCAACCCTACGCCTTCAAGCTCAAGAGAATTGGGACACTCCTACCCCTTCATGTGTACATGCAGAGCGTTAAGGGGAAGGGCTAATGGGTAGAATTGGGATTGGGTCCAAGTGACACTAAAGACTGTAGGACAGGAATCATAATAAATCAAACTATTTTAAAAGGAAGCATCTTTTATTAACTTCTTGACGATCCCAAACTTTTGAATAGTTGAGTCAATTCTCAAAATCAAGAGATGTGTACCTTCTCTTTGCCCTTGCTGGGGCTGGAGTTCTTGATGGTGATGGCAGGTATGGCTTCTTTCTCCACCACTCCCATAAAACGCAGCTCAGATTGAGTGTGGAAAGACACTGTGCCCTTGGGCAGCTTTTTGATCCGCACAGCATGGTTCCTTTGGGCTGACAGCATGTCCTGATGGAGGCAAGAGGGCCTGTTAAAAAGCTGAATCCAGCCAATGCAAGAATTTTAGTTTTGTCTGTTTTTCAGTAAATTAATTAAAACATTTAATGAACATTCATTCTTTACTTAAAAGGATGGTTCATCCAAAAATATTCATCATTTACTCTCCCTCCACTTGTTTCAAATCTGTTTTGAGTTTTTTTCCCTGTTGAACACAAAGGAAGATGTATTGGAAAACGCTGGTAATCAGCAGCCATTGACTTTCATAGTATTTTTTTGTTCCTACTATGAATGTTAATGGCTGATGGCTTTCCTCAATATCTTGTATTCAACAGAAGAAATTTATTAAAAGTTTAAAACCACTTGTGAGGGGGAATTAGTATTTTTAGATGAACCATCGCTTTAAACAAACTTCATTTCTTGAAGCTGAGAGAAAAGCAGCATCTTAAAAATGACTCTTGCTTTAGTGATATCTGGAAACTCACAGGGACAACAGTGAATTCCACTTCATCAGAAATGTGCAGTTGGCTCTCTTCCAAAACTTCGCTGAAATGGAAGAACATCCGGGCATCACGGTCCACACATTTGATGAAGCCAAAACCATCACGCATGGCAGCTATCACACCCTGCGTAAAAACAAGCAGCAAAAAAATATATATTTAATATATACATTAGAGATAAAAAAAGGAAAAAAAAAGACCTCAAAGTAAATAAAATATTAAATTCTGCAGTCACACCATTTCACGGGTCTCCTTTGTGAAATGGAAGGTGTCAGGGAGGATGTCAATATTTGTCGCTCTCTCCAGTTTGTCGCGACGGTCAGTGGATATATTGAACTGGACATGATCGCCCTCAAGCAGCGTCACTTTGGACTTGGTGTCCTTCTCCCCAAATAGCAGCTCTTTGTCAGTAAAATTGATTCTGGCACTGATTCTCCCAGGAAGAGGGTCGTTCTGAGGAAGACAAATTGAGTCTTATTTGATTGAACATGCAAGCACAACTAGTATGCTAATGTTATCAAGAGAGTCTAGGAAGAATAATGACAAGTGCTGATGCACCAACCTGATTCTTTGTGGGGACCTTGGGAATAACCTTACTGACAGTGCCCTCGAAGGTCTCAATGCTAATGTCCTCAAATATAACAGTGCCTTGAGGCAACAGTCTCACATCTGTGGCCACTTCCTTTCCCTATGAGACACACATAATAACAATCACTACAAAGATGCAATGTTTCTACAACTAGTAACAACTAGTAATTCACATCAAAATGTCAACTATTATAGGTTTATACCTATTGCTAATGCAAGACCAGTACAACACTTTACCATTTTGCTTTTAAACATTTCTTGTTAACTGTCATCTTTGATATTATACATAAAAATAACAATTAGTCAAAAAGTAAATTGGTTTGCATTGTCTTTACTTCTCTTTTGGCAAGATACTTGATTTTAATCAATTGGAAACAATAATTTCCCCCTTCTTTTAAATAGTGGGCCTATGATGAGTTGTAGTTTGGAAAAAAAATAAGATTTAATTCAAATGGTTCTGGGTATAAGTTCACTGCCATGTGGCGTCATTTTATAAATGACTTCCAAAGCCAAATGTAATAGCAAGTGGACAAACAAAATGATGCTGATGCTGTCAGGTTTTGGGTGTATCGTACTGATGTGTTCATTTTTTTTGTATGTTGATATGTACACAATGTTAAAGCACTATATCTATATGCCAGTTGTGTTGTTAGTCATGTTGATTAGTGAATGCATGTTTTTTGACTAACTAAAAGCAAAGAAAATAAATAAAACACTTCTTGTTCAAGGACTCACGTTTCTTTCTTTAATGGTGAATTCCACATCGTCTCCAGCTTGTAAAGCCTCCAGGTCTCCTTTAAACTCACTGTAGTGGAAAAAGATTTCCTTCACAACATCCCCTCGCTCAATGAATCCAAAGGCCTCCTGCAAGACACAATCACAGATTTAAAAAAACAGACAAAACTGATAAAATCTGATTGAAAAACTAAATACCAACCTTGGTAGCACAAACCACTCCCTGACATCTTGACTCTTTTTTCTGCACCAAAACAATGTTGTGGGCACTAACAGCACCAGTACTGAAAAAACAAACAACATCATGTTAAAAAGGAAAGTTCCTCTTTGTACCAGTCAAAGCACATCTTATTAAAATCAACTTACTGCTTGTTGGTCTCCATGTAAAAACTAACTTTATCACCAATATCTAAAGAAACGTTTCCTTCCACATCTTCTAGGGTGTAGGTCAAATAAAACACTTCCTGTCAGAAGATTCAAACCACAAACAATTTTAGACATACCAAATAACAGCATTATTGCACCTATACAACTGACTGCATCTAAAAATGTTTAGGAAAATGCAAAGAAAAAAAAAAAGAAAAAGAAAAAGATAATGACGTTTACCCCGTTCCTCTCATAACACACACTGCCTGTGGGCAATTGGCCAGGTGCAGACTTCCCATCCAGATGAGAAGGGATAGCTGACACTACCTGAAGAGAAAGACCATGCAAACACACAAGACTAGGTTAGAGGTTGCATTAGTGAGTGCCATGATCAGCTAACCTTGTTAAATGCTAAACATCCCTTAACGCTGATGCTAAACATGTTATGAATTAATTTATATATTTATTTAACATATAAAAAACAGCATTAAGTTTAAGAGTAGACTTATACATTCAAGTAAGAAAAAACAATGTATTTTAAACAATGTACATGACTGACAGACTGGAAATTAAGATTGTTTCTCTCATAACTATATCAAATGAAGATGAAAAGTACCCCCAACAAGACCACAAAACACAGACAAATCAAGCTCATTGTGAACCCACAAAGATTATAATTAGCATCAGGCCAGTTAAGAGGCTGGCTTATTCTTATTTATTCGAAGTAGATAATAATTTGCGGTTGCCAGGTCAATGTGGATTAAAAATGAGCTTGAAACCCAAACAATGATGGACATTAATGGGACAAGGACAATAAAACACGAAAGTAAAATGTGTTCCTTAACTGGATGAATAAAACCATGCAGCACAGTTAAAGGAGAGGCGTGCAAGTCAGGCCCCACCTGCCCAGAAATTCGCTCTTCTGGCAACATTTCTGCCTTGATTTTTACCAGCTTCACTGCAATTGGTTTGCCAGTGCGCCTATCAGACGACACCTCGAACTCCACATCATCTTAAAAAGTGGGATAGAACCAACAACAACAAGAAAAAAAAAAAGTCAATTCATGATTCTACTATAAAAGATAAACAAAAGAAGTAAAAAAACTAATGATATTCATTCATTCATCAAGTCCCTTGTAGAAACCCTACAGCAAAAATACAAAGTGACTGTTTCAGCAATGATTAAAATTATCTTTGTATTTGGAAGGACACAATATGCTTGGATTTCACATATCTGAATTATAACATTGTTAAAATGGAGATAAGAGTCTCAGTTTTAAACTTTGTCATTAAACGGGGGAATTTTTTCTGTGAATGTTTAAATATTCAGTTTTAATGGAATGGTGACTTGTCTAAATCAAATTCAACTTGGTCGAATGATTATTTGGCACAAACCTCCAATTTTAAGCTCCTGCAGGTTGCCGTTATATTGAGAGCAGTGGAAGAAGAGACGGGCCTGTCTCTCAGAGCATTGAATGAAGCCATAAGATGTGAGCAGTTTTTCAACTACTCCAGTCTCACGAATTCCCATACTAGTTCCATTGGCAAAGCCACTATGGCCATTATTATGCAGCAGACTGGGGTCAAAACTCATCTACAGGGGAAAAAAAGACAAGATAGCATGTTTAAAATAAAAATCATCAATATCCAACCTCCGGTTTTTCCAAAATATCAGCACGCAAGTGTGAAAATGGTAAAATGGGATGAGACAAGACTAGAATTGCTTTTAGTATTTGCAATCATGGGAAAAACTAAATTAGGAGGAAACAATCTCAACAGTTTGTTGCATGTGTAGTTTTAGGAGGTCTCTCAGGTTTACAATTCGCTGATCACAAGGATCAATCTGCACCGTACAAGTGTAAACACTTCCCCAAATGCAAATTCCAATTGGATTCACATTAAACCCGGATATTAAATTCATGCATTTAACACACATTTAAAATTAGAATACACACAAACACTACATTAGAAGTTAGGTCTCTTTGTACATCATCCACATGTTATGTAATTTATAAGTGAACATTTAGGAGTTGTGTGGTCAAAAAAAAAAAAAAAATAAAAAATAGTTTGGCAACATCCAGTTTTAGGGAATCAAAAGACCAGTGAAGTCAACCGCTTTCTAACATGTAAATCCAAAGCATGCCGTTAAAGTGTCAGGTATTCTTCGCCACTGAGGACGTCAAGCTGGCACACACCATCCCATCATGCCAACTTACAGATCGCTGATATAAAGGGGTCCGCTTTTGCTTTTTACCCCCTGATGAGCGAGATGTATGGCACGAGACTGAGGCCGAGCGAGGGATTGGTTGGCTTGAGGTGGAGGGGGTGGGGGTTGCAAGAGAGGGATTAGAGGCCTCCATCTTCAAGTGAAGGTAGTGGGTGGCAGGACACTGAAGTGATAAGGAGTGAAGTGGATATTTAAAAAATATATATATTTACTAAAAGGTAGAGCAACAGATCAATTCATTGATTAAAAGAAGAATCACTTAACCATCACACCACTGTGATGACCAACGAAAAGCAGCCAATACAGCAGGCTACATTCATTTTGCCTTTTAATAAAAACCCTAATCCAACTTGTTGATCCAACTTGTACCAGAATAACATTGAAATGTTGAAACATTGAAATGTTATTCTAGTAGACCTCCAGTACTACATTTTACGGTTCAAGTAATAATCTGAAGCCATGACATTGTTGCTGTCCAAGGTATAGGAGCAACTAACAATATGATAATTAGTAATATTAATAGTAATAGTAGTGATACGGTACTCTTTGAATGGAAATCTAGGAAAAACGACAAATCCAATTCAACATACGACCACATCCACTGCAACAGCAGTAACTGCATCAATACTTAATTAATATTTTTGCACTGCTACATGAAAAAAACAAAATTTCGTAATGGGTTGTAACAACGCATGAGAATTTGCGAAGCACATGACTGGAATACCCCAGTAAAGCAAGTGAGACAGGCTTGGGAGCCGTGAGGGCATGACGTTTGTTAGCACTCATGCCACCAACCTTGCATGCCCTCACAGCTCTCAGCCATGCCCCATTCAAGAATAATTTTATCACAACACTCCTATCGTGAAAAGGCCTTAGTTTTTCTAACCCTCCTATTATTCCAAAATATTTGACTAACTGACAGCGGTTCACAAAACGATGTCCCCATCTTTCTATCAAGTTTGGAAATGTTTAATTTTCCTCACTTTATACTAAAAGACATGCTTGAGGTGCAAAAAAATAATTATTAAAAATTAACATGTAGGGTGTGAAGCGACTGAGAATGACACTACAAGACTACATGAACACAGCAAATGGTTAAATAAGACAGACTTGAACTAGCCTCGACCACTAGGCCAAATGCTTTAAATGCCCTCAGTGTCAAAAACAAAGTCAAAGTCAAATACCCCTTTTCAGTCTCAGAGTTTCCGAATCTGTATACAAATCCACATTTGGACAAACCACTATATATATATGGGCATTAGTGAAAACATCATTGTTCTTGCCTTGCCACCTCTCACTGCTGCTCATCTTTAAGGCATGTGATCGAGGCCAGCCCCTAAGCCTGCTGATCGGGATGATGAAGTAAAGTAACAGCGCAGAGAGGGGCGACAGTGGGTGTTCAATGAACGAGTCGAGTTCGGGACAATGGGGTGGAGAGCGGATGGCAGAACACTTACGGATCGGCCGTATGGTGACAGGCTGAGGCCAACGGGCGAGGTGTTGTTCAGGTCAGCGCTAACAAAAGCTGCAGGTGGTGACGCCGGCAAGGTAAATTCGACAAAACCTTTCCAGGGACTACCCATAATTCTCCCATAAACAGAGGCCAAATCTACTACGCCTGGGATTGAGCGGAATAAACAGTTTCGAAGTCAAACTTTTATTTTAATCGAGTCGTGGTGCTGGAGCTCCTCCCTTCCCTCTCCCCTCTCCGTTTGGTTACACACCCAACAAAACACCTCTGGATTTCTGCAAAGGTGAAGAGAGGAGGGAAGGGTGAAAATAAACTGAGGGAGAGGCAACAAGAACAGCCAGAGAACAAAGCAGAACAGAAGGATCAGCTGAGGGCTTTGGATGTGTGTTGGGGTGAGGACCCTACAGACATCATGCAAGTGTGCCTCGTTCTCTCGGACAGATGCCAAGGCTAAATTGTACTTGAAGTCTTAAATAAATGCATTTTATTTCACTCCCCCAAAAGTCTGGTGTGTTCAAAAAGAGAAAAACATGACCACAGTTATCAAAAGTGTGCTAAATAACAGGATTATAGGTGTGTGCTTGAGTAAACAGTTACTAGATTTACACAGACATTAGTAATCAAATTATTTGCTTTAATTTGAAAAAGAAAATAATGTAGTTATAGCACATAATTCTATAAACGTCATTGTGTCAACACACTATTCACATTTCCTCCAGAGTTTAGTGTTATTTCGGGTGTTTGATTCTTAATTTGTCAACTTTAACAGCAATTTGGCACTTTTACTTTCATTCAGGAACATTTCATGCATGCCCCCCATGACAAACGAGATATTGAATGAGAGTATGAACAGCAGGAAGAGTGTTGTTTTAAAAGAATTTGATACTGCACGACGTATGGGGGAAAAAAAAATGTAAAATTTGGTGATGCATGTGTCTGTGGTCCTTCACCAACTCGGTAGTTGCAGAGAATAGTCAAAAAGCAGTGCGTGTAAAAACTGTCCAGTCACAAAATGTAGCGAAAGTCCTACACGAATGTGATAGCTTGATTGCGGTGTTTACAAGTCTGTACTGGACTTCAATAAAGCAATTAAAATCGGCATACCACACGTCTTTAAATTAATAAAACATTTTACATGAAACGTTTACATGGTAGACTCTAAATCAGAGTATTGTCTTAATCGTAAAATACATAGTCCATGTAAACATACTCAATGAAAGGTATACTTCTTAATATTTGTACGCTGAACGTGACAAGCATGACTGAAAATGTAACTGCAGGGCATATTTCTGAGGTTTAGACAGTTAAAACATATTTAGACAACGTATATTGCTATGGTTGTTCATTTTTCATTTTAAACATACCAATATGGTGGAAAGCTTACAGTAGAGGCAGTAGCTCACAAACTGATAACTAGGGAAGACAGAATCTGCTGACATTTTTTAGCCATTTTGCAAAATTTAGTAAAAAAAAAAAAAAAAAAAAAAAAAATTTCTATATATATATATATATATATATATTCTGCAGATTTATGCGGAATGATTTTGGGAGTATCGCAACTAAAACGTAATGTATGGGGAAAAAATAATAATATGTTTTTAACTTATTTAATGTTCACAATGCAAATCCAATTAGAAAAACTTATTTGGTAAACCAACTATATAAACATTTTCATATTGATCAATATTACTGAAATTATACATGTATAAAAAAAAAACGAATAAAAATACATTTACACACTTTTACAAAAGTTAATAAATATCTGCAGCTAAAAATATGAATTTCTGTGTGTGCAGATTTCATGTGGGCCTACTAATAACTAATAAAGTTTAGTCAATAATAAAGCATTTATATATGCTTATGTTTATTAGCTTAGCAACATTAATCTCATTCTGTTTTAGGCTATCTACACGGCAATGACATTTTTGGCTGATTCAAAAAGTTTTACATCCATACATGTAACGTGTCATCAAGGAAACAGAAAAACTGGTATTTGCACACCACACTTGTATGTGGTGCTGAAAACAAACACAGATAAAGCCACAAAATACATTAAAATTTAAGAAGAATGTGGTGAGCATGCACGTCAAGTCTTTCTTTAGACTACAGACATAAAATGGCAAAATGTTTTGCATTTTGACAAATTAGAGCTAATAAACTTAGCAGCATAAACACAGCATTGTAATCCGCCAATGCTGCAGGTACAGGTTTTTATTGCACAGGGTTTTTCATACTACTTGTTAGACATGGTACAGTTATGTCATATTTCACAAAAAATTGAGTTTTTATCAACAGAACTAAGCACCAGGCAGTGTTTTGAGATTTTTCCAATGTGTAATTTTTATCCAAATCAACCAAAGGTTGAATCAATTGGACATTTTTTGCAGATTGGCCAAGATCTAATGCTGTGTGAATAGGGCTTTAGTTATAATGCTGACTTAGAAGGTAGCTCACTACTTATTGGAACAGAGCAGCACATTTGCAGCCATTTTAAACTTAATTTATGAGCTCAGCAGACTGTACATTACATTGTTATATGAAAAAGAAATCAGAATCATTGTTTAGGGAAAGATAAAAGTGGGTGCAGAAATTACCTTGTTCTGTTGTCTTGGAAGGCTGTAATGATTTGGATAGATCAATCAATCAATCGATGCTTCAGACTCTGGTCACACACGCGCATGCACACACACTTGTAAGGTTCAGCTCTCTGGCACACGTTCTAATTATAAAAAGTTGCAAAAATAAATGGCAAAAAAGTCAAATAAAAAGGCAAATGCAAGTGTTTGAACACTGCTTTTGAGGAAAAAAAGTGAACAGAAATACAAGAGAAAGACTGGGCAAAATGGGGAAAAACTGAGATTACAAGGTGGGATTCGGTCAACAATTGACAAAGAAAAAGCTCAAAACTGAAAAGACTAGCAGACAGCAGCCCTCTCCGCACCCCAGAGGAGGAAGAGGTGCGGGGAGGATGAGGAGGGCTTGGTGCAGCGTTGGGACGTGTGCTTTTTCAAAGCTGTTGAGTAGGCACAAACTTCTTGTCTCAGATCAGGTCTCGCCTTTGCTGTTAACGTTGATGGTTGCTACGCTTGTTGCGGCCTGGTTCTGTTTCTTAAATCTTTGGTTTGCTCGTTTGGTTGCTTCGTGTTGCTTTAGATTTTCTCGTTTGTAGCAGTGCAGGTCTTCGTCTTGGTCTCTTCTTCAAAGTTGTTGTACCGTTGGGTCGTTTTAGAGATGTTAGTAGGTTTTCTTTTTCCTTGACGTTTCTTCTGACCGATCGATGATCTGAACTTGAAGTAGGTTTCAGATGGTACAAAATTCAATTCAGTTTCACTTCATACTGTTTGTGGGCGAGAGAGAGAAAGAGAGAGAAATAATTTTAAATTCCACATGTTAAATTTATGTAGTTGACCAAAAAGCTAATTAATCCAAATAAGGTTGAATTTATTTAAGTTTCCTCCCTAAATCACTGAATGCATCCCCTAAAATGATTGAACAAATCAACCCCAATTATTTAATGAGTTAAATGTCATGTTTCTCTCTTGTTGATACACAGGCCTAAAAATAAAGTTTTCTCAGTGTCCTCATATACAGAAGAGCAGCTGACTGAATACACACAAGGATCAACAAGTCTCAGCGTGAACCAGCAGTTGGCTGAGTATTTATGGAATACATTCAATTCAAGCGGTCAACAACTGCAGATATCCAGTATGCCAATCATTCAGTTCCCTCCGGTCTATTACATGGATGAGATGGGAGGATCAAAGAGCTTGATATATAGGCCAGTACTTGCTTCAGTGGATCAAGTACATGTTTATAATTTCAGGGAAACAACATCTTACCTAATTTTGCACATAATTACACAGCTATGAAATGAAATTTACAAAAAGGTCTGGGTCATTTGGCCTAAAATCAAAATTTCGATTAATTGAAAATTTTACTCTATTGCAATTATCAAACAATTATTTTATTTATTTATTGCCTATTTTAATATTGTAAACAGTGCATTTCTTCAATTCTCTCTAAACAAATATTTTGATGTAAACAATAAATTTTATTGTAATAGAAAATATGCTGCCTCAAGGCATCTCTGGTGCAGCTTCCAATCACCTTCAGTTTAGTGTGACTACACATGGGCCGGTATAAGATTCTGATGGTATGATTACCTTGGACAAATATATCAGGGTTTCACTGTACTGTGATTACTGCTCTAAAATATGTTCTTTCCAAATGTCTACGTAAAAAAAAAATATTTTTTTTTTTCACTGTGAAAAAAAAAAGATTTTCCATCCTAAAATATAGTTGAGTGAAAAAACAAACTTTTTCCACACTGAACGCTTTAAATATTTTTAAAGAAACACTTAAAATGTCAATAAAACCTGAGGCTATATAATTAAATCATTGTTGACTCTTGCTGTTTTCATTAGATTCATTAGATAATTTAGATAAACTAAATTAGTTTAATAGTCCTAACATGCATAAAAAAACAACCAAACAAAAGCTCTTTACATTTATCGTAGGAACGGTATAAAATGTTTGTGGTTTTAAAACCTCGACTTTCTTAAACCATGGTAAACCTTGAAACCGGTTTTCGCTCCTACCCAAGTGTGATATGTAGTTACGTTTTTTGAGAGGTGCGTGGGTATGGCACTGCGCAAAAGATGCGCCGGACCACACCTGTGCATTCAACGCAGAAGTTTAGACCAGCCTTAGAGTGGGTTCACGTGACTCCACATAGGGTTAGTAAAAGTAATTGAAAAAATGTATCTGAAAAATTTATTAATTATAGGTTCTGAATGTCTTCTGAAATTGATTACTTTTGGATCAATAGCCCAGCCCTATTTACAACAGACCTTTTCAATTGCTGTTGGTTTTAGGAATAGCAACAACACATTGTAATGAATATGACCCATATATCCTCATACTTATCAACATATCTTTTATACCAGCAGTTAAGTTAGATTTTAAATGTATGCGAGTTTTGAAAAAACCCTTTTTTTCAGTTCTCCAAATTTGTAGTGCTGTAAATGACGAAAGTGCATGAGCAAATGATTTCTGTTTTGCCTAAATTGGTGTAGTGTGAACGCCTCTGGAATAAGGGAACAGGTCAAATTCTGTCCATGACTTAAGCCAGAAAAACAAAACAGTACCAGGCAAACAAACCTTGAGGGCACAGTGTGTGCTTCTTTTATTTAAAACATCATGCTATCCGTGAAGATTAAAGGGAAAATCCCTTTAACTAATAATTTTGATAACCAGGCTTTTAAATGCACTTAAGATGATCTCTGATTGAGATTCGGAATTACCAACACCTTTTGAAAAACCGTAACTACTGCATGAAGTGTCTAATTCGTGTGAATTCGTACATAAACGCAATACTAGGAGGAAAAAGGCCAGTGTAAAGCATAGAAACAGGAAAAATCTGTGGCAAAATAAGTAACATGCACCCGCCCACAGCTAACCAGGTTACAGGGCGTGACGTCGACACCTCGAGCGCGTGCTGCTCAGCTGTGTATTTCTTGACAGCGGAATAAACGCACGATTTAAAGCTGCAAAGAACCAATATCTGTTACGGAATATGGAGCAGATGTTAATTTAAAAAACGAAAATGTTAATTTGTACAGCTTACACAACAAAATGAGGACATGAAACTATGTGACGCAAGTGTAGCTTGAGCAACAGCTGGGAGCGGATCCATCTGGAGCTCATCCAGAGACAAAACCACTAGCAATGCCATTTCAGACAAGACTGAACTCCGACACATCACATGCTACTCCGATCAACACATTAAAATGGGATACTTGCAGCCTGAAAACAAACGGTTAAAGCTAGAATCTATGGCGGTTTTTAAGTCCCAAAATACGACCGTTTGCAAGACTTAAAATGTGTACAACTTGATAAATTGCGTTGTTTCACATGCAGAAATTCATGGAAAGGATTTAACAATAGTAAATTTGATCTTGTGTAACGTTAAAGCAATTTTAGTATATGAGTGCAATTTCCTAAGAAATTAGAAGTATACATGTCCTTAATAAAGCAAATATTATCTCGTTATTTTAGGTAACGTTACTTTCCCAGGCCTACTTTCACAATGTCTTCGTATTATCATAACCACTGAGGCAGTGATTTCCACAAGAACTTTAGAAAACTTGTGTCATGTCCTGGGAAAAAGCAGGTTGGGTTGTTTTACTCAGGGTAAATTGTGTTGATAAAGCGGGGCATACTATGATCCAATCGAGCTTAAAATAAATCACTCATCCCGACAACAAAGGCACACGGCGGCGTCTGTCGGGTCACGCTGGGCCGCCGCTGCCGCGTTGGAGCCTCGCCTGGGCGGTCCATTTCTAATTAAAGTGACCTTTGGCAAAGATCTCCCGCGACAGGCGTGGTATACAAATAAACGTGCTTTCCCTCGTTTAAAAACGCCACTTCCCCATGAAACAGTGCTTTCAGCGTTGGCTAGCGTGCTAAACCGCTAACGGTAGAGCACACGCAGAGGAAACACTGCCCCCACCCTAAACCGTTTAACTGTTCAAAAACAAGTGGAATTATTCGGAGAGACTGGTATTAATGCAAACGTCGAAAGCTCGTGGATATATACACGCGGGTAAGAGTTATGTTACACGCAACATTTTATAAATAAAGAGGAAAAACTCACCCCAACAGCTTTCAGCACTGTCACCAGCGCCGCCATAAGCAGCACGGCACATTACGTAGTGAGCAGTGTGCGAACTCTCGCGATATTAAAACAATACCGTGTGAACTGTGGGACACACCACTGGGTCAGAGGTCGCATTTTATTCACCCGTTTAGAAGTACTGCTAATATTTCCACCATCTTAACAAACCTTATTTGTGATGTAGTGTAGATTAAAAGGCCCAAACCTGTACTTTTTTATATATAATTTATATTACGGTCACCAGGCGTCACGTTAGCACGATAGCCTCGCAGCAAGGTCGCCGGTTCAAGCCTCGGCTGGCTCAGTTGGCATTTTTGCGTGGAGTTTGCATGTTCTCCCGTTGTTCGCGTGGGTTTCCTCCGGTTTCCCCCACAAGTCCAAAGGCGTGGTATAGGTGAATTGGGTAAGCTAAAATTGTCTGCATGAGTGAGAATGGATGTTTCCCAGTGATGGGTTGCAGTTGGAAGAGCATCCTCTGCGTAAAACATAAGCTGGATAAATTGGCGGTTCACTCCGCTGTGGCGACCCCAGATTAAGAGACTAAGCCGAAAAGAAAATGAATGAATATTATGGTTTGTTTCTTCAATTAATAAAATAACTAAATCCAAAAATTACACCATTTAAGTTTTGTTGTTTTAATTTACTTAAGCAACAACAAAACAATTAAATCACAAATAATACTCAAAGTAAAATCAAAACAGAAACCGAAAAAATAGATTAAAACATAGAAATAAAAAACAAAAAAAGCAACCATAAAGCAATAAAAATCACAAAAATACTCAGAAGTCAGAAAATGTTGAAAATAAACATAAAAGACTACAAAAATAATTAAAATGTAAACGAAAAGAAAGATTTTTTTATATTTAACAGATGTACTTATATTTACAGTAATAATGAAAAAAAATCAGAACAACAAAACCTAATACTAACACAAAGTAAAACCAAACGTATAAAATAATTAAAAACTAATTCATAACAACAACCATAAAGGCAAACACAATTACATCACAAAAAACTACAAATAAGTATCGATATAAAAAAAATAAAAATAAAGGCGACGCAGTAGGTAGTGCTGTCGCCTTAGAGCAAGAAGTTCGCTGGTTCGAGCCTCGGCTGGGTCAGTTGGTGTTTCTGTGTGGAGTTTGCATGTTCTCGCTGCGTTCGCGTGGGTTTCCTCCGGGTGCTCCGGTTTCCCCCACAGTCCAAGGACGTGTAGTTCAGGTGAATTCGGTAAGCTAAATTCTCTGTAGTGTATGAGTTTGAATGATTGTGTGGATGTTTCTCAGTAATGGGTTGCGGCTGGAAGGGCATTGGCTGAGTAAAAACGTGCTGGATAAGTTGGTGGTTCATTCTGCTGTGGCAACCCCGGATTAATAAAGGGACTAAGCCGACAAGAAAATAAATGAATGAAACTAAAAATAATACAAAGTAACCAAAAAAAAAAAAAAATTAATTTGACAGGTGTCACGGTGGCGCAGTGAGGAGCATCATAGCAAGAAGGTCGCTGGTTCGAGCCCCGGATGAGTCGGTTTGCATTCCTGTGTGGAGTTTGCATGTTCTCCCCATGATTGTGTGGGTTTCCTCCAGGTGCTTCCGTTTCCCCCTCAGTCCAAAGACATGTGCTATAGGTGAACTTAATAAATTAAATTGGCCGTAGTGCCAGTGTTAGGTTGCGGCTGGAAGAGCATCCGCTTTGTAAAACATGCTGAATAAGTTGGCGCTTCATTTCGCTGTGGCGACCCCAGATTAATAAAGAGACTAAGCCGAAAAATAAATGTTTGAATGATTAAATAAATGTTAATGTGCCCTTGAGCATTGCAAGATTTGACACATGAAAAATAGTCATGTTGGCAATTTTTATTAGAAAATAATAAATATTTTTGTCAGAGCTAATCTACACCTTTCAGTAAAAATATGAAACATGTTTTCAGATTTACGCATGTTCAACTGTAAAAGCGAAAACAACAACGTTCCTATTGAAAGAAGCTATTATTTATACTGTATATTGAGCCATATACAGAAAGAAAGAAAAACACTTGTAATATGAACTCTACACACTGATATTTCTCCTATTGCTCAAGCAAAATTCCAATGGAAAAAAATAAAAAATAGTATGACCACATGATGACAAAAATAATTCTTGTAATCATAAGGCACTTTCTCCACTTGAGGGTCAGACGGGTGAACGAGGAAATGCTGACTGTTGATTATTGCAGTCTTTGATATTTCAGTCATCATTCAACATCAGGTTCAGCGAATGGTCCTTTGACTGCTCAATGCTATAAAAACAATGTGGCAATTTTTTTAAATGAGCCAATAAAACACAAAACAGCCTAACATCACCCAATGGCTCGCCCAGTTTAGCTCCGACCACTTCTGAATAGTGTGACTGGCCATGTAGCCCTGTGTGTGAAAAAATACTGTTACAAAGAATCCTATTCAATTAAATAAAATGTATTAGTTACTAAATCTTTACACTAGTTTAAATGCATTCTATATGACAAAATAACTGAAAATTCTCACCTCCTCATCGTGCATTTCATCCATTTCAGAGTCAAATAATGATCCCAAGTAAGTCAAATGGAATATTGACAGAGCACTGAAGAACAGGTTTACAACATAAACCCACACAGTCTATAAAAAGAAATAAAGGCATCTCAATATAAAAATATAACTCCATATAAAACTTTAGCAGAAATTCAGCTAAAAAAATCTAGTTTCAAGACAGGACACCTTCTTGTTTTGGTGATGGCAGTCACTTGGGCAGCGTTTTGACAGTATACAAGCACTGAAAATAGCAGCCAAGCGCTTTCTCAGAACTGCAAGAGAAAACAAACACAGTATTTCAGTCTTGTTGGCAAGACCGCTAATGTGGCATCAATTACACACGCTACAATTTCTTGTCTGCTGACATTCGTGTCATTATGATGACTCCATGACATGTGTCAAATTTAATAAATGATTGTAAGAAAGCTTTTATTATTATTACTGGCAAGGGTTCATTAATAAACCAAATTGTTTACCGTGTTCAACATATGTGATGAATCCCAAAGACAACAGTACAGCCCCCAGATGAAAGCTGAGACCCTGTTAAACAACACAAACAAATCAGACCTGAACATAAATATTTTTTAAAACTTTGGGGTCAGTATGATTTTATAAATTGAAGAAAATAATACTCTATTCATCAAGGATGCATCAAGTACATCAAAAATTTGTTTAAATACATTTATATTGTTAGAAAAGAATCCCATTGTACCAAAAAGGTGTTACTATTTATAAAGCAAAAAAACCTAAAAAAAAATATGTAATGATTTTCATAGAAATTTTTATTTTTTTATATTTATTTTATAATTCAATAAAAATACCAAATATGTATAAAAGAAAGAAAAACAGCATTAGAATGATATCTGAAGAATTTTATGAGACTGAATTTTTTAAAATTGTTATATTTCAAAATATTATTGTTTTACTGCAAAAATCTAACAAATGCAGCCTTGGTGAACAAAAGACAACACTATAAAACCAGGCATTAGCATCATTTCTATCAAAGCACTGTCCTAAATGAACCACCAGAGGGCTCTACTCAACTACAATCGTTTGTAACATCAGTCACTGATATTTTCCTTAGTTTAGAAGTAGATTACTCTGTGGTTCAACAGATCTACCCCTCACTGACAAAGGTTCACAATTTTTCCCAAACATGTGCCATCTTAAGTAGTAAAAATAACCTTTCGAAAAAGGCTTTAAGACCATCACCGTCACATCGGTGTGACATCAGCTAATCAGTTTTGGCCAATGCAAACAAATTTTTATTTTATGAATCCAACATCCAGCTGTGCAAGAAGTAATCTTTTGCTACTGTATTGTTGTTAAATAAAGAAAACATTTTACAAGTAACTTTTATTCTAAATCTGCGACCTTATTAAAAGGTCTGACTGAGGAAAGTTGAATGTACTGGTCAGTTTATTATTTACCTAACAAATGAGAATAGACAACAGTTTTTAATTTAAAACTTTATCAGATTTCTATTTTATATCTATTTTTTAATATATGATGCAATAAATTAGTATTTTAAAAATAAGTATACATACATATTTCATTATTCAAAATCGTTGGAAAATATTTTGGTCCATATTTTGTGTCGCACCATCTGGTCACAAACCAGCCGTCTGAGGGAAAGCTTCTTCCCACAGACTATCAGGCTGATGAACACTTCTTCCACACCCCTCACTGCATAACATCAAGATATAGCATGCATAGCACTTTAACCAATCCTTACTTAAAACAATATTGCCTACAATGATTAATTTCCCACCAACAGTCAGACCATGTGTACATCTATTAATTAATTAGAAGTATTAATTAATCTATTAATTGTATTTGATTTTGTTTTTTGTGAGCATCTTGTTGTATTTTACACTAGAGCCAGCACCTAAGCTTTTCACTCATCACAGTTCATGCGCTGCTGCTGATTTGACAATAAAAGTGAATTGATTTGACATGGTTATGATGACCACCCGACAAGCTAATTCAGCTAAAACTAGTGCTTAAAATGTCACTAAATTAAATAGAAAATGAGGAGAATTACTGCAAAAAGGTCCACATTTTAAGAAAAATCAGAGAGTCAAATTCAATACCTTTTAAGACCTTTTTTAACACTCTTTTCATACTTTTTAAGACCTCATCGCCACTTTGTCTGAACTAAAACATTACTCATATGCTTTATAAAAATGTTTATCCAGAAAGTGTCACCTAAGGAATAGCAGAAATAATGGTGCCGCCTTCGTTACTTCAGTAAACAAAGCAGTGTGACATCAAATATAGCAGGATTTTACCAATTTCATAAACTACATAGCTTTCCAAAGTTTCAAACTTAGCAAACAACTATAATTATACAACTGCATAATCAAAAATGATGCAAAATTTATTACCTTCTAACAGCATTTCAGACTTTAAGGGCCTTAAATTTCTCTAAATTGATTGATAAACTTTTAATACTTTTTAAGATCCCTGCGGACACCCTGTAAAATAATCATAATAAAATGAAGAGAAGGCTTTGGCTTATTTGCACTTGAGTTAGACCAAATTGGATCCATCACTACCATCACGTCCTTTCTTCAAATCCAAGTTTCAAAAAACCAAACACATTCACATTTGCATTAGACTAGTAAAATACAGGTCACTCTTATAACAGGGACATTTTGATTTATGAAAACCTAAAATTACTACCCCGCTTGTAATCCTTACAAATCCCATTTTTATATACTTGCATTTCTAAAGGTCAAACTGGTACTACTGCATGAATGACTATCTTAGCAACACACAATGCTTTACAACGAAACACACGCAAGTACAATAGCTTACATAGATGACAATGAATAAGCTGGCAGCCGTGATTGAATTATCTGTGCACACCAGCTGTAGACAGCAGTTTATATCTGGGTCATGGCGTTCTGAGATAAGGAACAATCTTTATCCAAGCTGTCCTGTTAGAGGGAAATTATTTTCCTGGCTAAGGTGTTTTTGCACCCTTAACCAAACTCAAATCTGTTCAAACAGATGGAACCTGAATATGTGCCAACAAACAAACACTGTGGGGAAAAAAATTTTTAAAAAATCACACTTACATGCAACAACGCACTGGCTGTGTAGGTCACCAAGATGGCAGGGAAAGTGCCGAGTTTGAGTGCGCTTTTAAAAACATCTGCAGAGAGTGTACAGAGGATATTTTACATTGGAGAATGAGATTTAGGCCCTGTTTAAACTTAGACTTTACACAATGAACTGTTTTTACCAATAAAGATCGCATATTTACAATGCTAAAGCTGAGTGTGAAATGAAAGGTAGGCAATTTGATTTGTTCATTGCCATATCAGCAATTTTTGACTATTTCAGGGCA